ATACAGAAAGTGGACTAGCCTTCTCTTTTGCATTTCCATACTCCATACTACCTTTTATTTTATTATTTTGAAGGTCTTTATAACATTTTTGGCAATTATTCCAACTGAAATGATGGTCTATTTAGGTACAAATGGTGGACAACTCTTTTTCAATACAATTTTTTAAACAATTACCCGTTATCGAACCATTCTGGAAGACGTTACAATTAAATATTGGTGATTTATTGGTTTATTTTTTACATTTTTTGTGATTATTCCAACTAAAATGCTGGTTTATTTAGGTTGAGATGGTGAACAGCCTTTCTTCAGTCCTTTTCCAGTGTTTATTGGACTATTTTGAAAGACTTTACAACTTAAAATTGATAATTTCTTCCCCTTTATTTGACATTTTTGGCGATTATTCCAACTAAAATGCTGGTTTATTAAGGTTCACATGATGGAAAACCTTTCTTTCAGGCTTTTCTATAGTCAAACTGTGTTTATTTGACTATTTTGAAAGACTTTACAACTTAAAATTGGTGATTTCTTCGACTTTATTTAGTATTTTTGGCGATTATTCCAACCAAAATGCTGGACTATTGAGGTATAGATTGTGGACAACCTTTCTTCCAAGCTTTTCCAGTGTTTATTGGACTGTTTTGAAAGACTTTACAACTTAAAATTGGTCATTTCTTTCCCTTTATTTAACATTTTTTGCGAGTATTCCAACTAAAATGCTTGTCTACTTAGATTCAGATGGTGGACAACTTTTCTTCCATCTTTTTCCGTAGTCAAACCGTGTTTATTGGACTATTTTGGAAGACTTTACAACTCAAAATTGATCTCTTTTTGACCTTTATTTGACATTTTTGGTGATTATTCCAAACAAAAGGCTGGTCTGTTTAGATATAGATGGTGGACAACCTTTCTTCAGTGCTTTTTGAACTATTTTGAAAGACTTTACAACTTCAAATTGGTGATATTTTCAAGAACAGATTGTGGATTACATCTTTCTTCCACACATTTCCATAAAAGAATAATACTTTACCAGACTCTTTTGGAAAACTTTACCACTCAAAATTGATGTTTTGGCCATTTTTGGTAATTATTCTAACCAAAGAGCTGGTCTGTTTAGGTACAACTCTTTCCCCGTCCGTTTTTGTAGACAAATGACGCTTTGTTGGACCATTTTGGAAGACGTGATGAACATTTCTGGTCATAATTCCAACCAGAACTTTTAGAAGTAAACATGGCGGACAGTCTTTTCGTTGACGCATAGAGGAACAAAGTTTTATCTGAATTTTCTGGGAGACTTTTTAACTGATAACTGAACGTTTTTCGCGATGATTCCGACCAAGATGCTGGTGTACAGAGGTGCGGACGGCGGGACGCGCAGTCAGGCCGTTTACAGCGCGACGCGGAGGAAGAAGTCGACGGGGGAGCTGTTCCAGAAGGGCTACAGGGTCCGAGCGTTACACCCGGAGAAGGAGGAGCAGGAGGGGGCGTGTCACAGCCTCAGCGCCTGCCTCCACGTGCTCTCGTACTGGGGTAAGAACCAGAGCGACCAGAGCAGGGAGGGGAACTACACCGATGTTGATGAGCTAAATCTAGGTGGAGCTGTTTAAATAGGTTTAACTTGGAGATTTGGGTGTAAAATGTGAATCGCTGTTGTTGTTTTGGAGATTAAATCAAGTCTGACGTCTATAATTAATGCTTTTTAAGAAACATCCAGAGTATAAAGTGATGGATCTGCATTTTTGTGGTTAATTTTATGGTCGAATCATGTTTTATTCAAGACGTGAACCTCAACCAAGACTTTTACAGGCACCTTTTAGCACACTTCGCACGTATTTTTATTTTTATTTTGTCTAAATATTATCAAGATCATGCAAAAAATAAACAAACTTATGGATGTTTTGAGGCAGAACTTTTGACTGTTGGGCTTTTTTGTCCAGTTATTACAAGGGCGTCAGTTTTTTCGAGGACCAGTTCTTTGACAATGTCTTGTTTTTTTGATTTGGTTTTGGTTTTGCTCCTTGAACAGAGCTTTTGTCACATTGCTTCTTTTGTGGTGACATGGTTGAGTACTTTTTGTGTAGTGCTCTCCCAGGACGAGAAAGACATGAAAATCTAAAAAAAATATTTTTTTTCAGCACCAATTTTTATATATTATGTACAGTTTGTTTGAAATTTCTGTTATTTTCAACACAATCTACAGTAGTGGAGTTGTTTCAAAACTAGACGCTGTTGTTTGTTTTACTCTTATCACATTTCTGCAACTCCAAAGTCAGATCGATTTATGTAAGAAATCGTGTTAAAATCAGATTATTTCAAAGTTGTTGGAAGTGCATTGTGTTACTGTCGTACCCCAACAGGCTTTATTGTGTTCATGTTTTTCTCTTTCTCATCTGTTTAATATAAAGGTTTTTATCCTTTATATTAAACAGATGTTTGAGCTGCTCCTGCTCTTTGTGACACAGACTCTGACTCTGCTCACGTCCTTCACTTTTAAGCGATAATGTTTCCTCTCTGACCTCCACCTGCTCTCTCTCTCTCCCTCTTTGTCTCTCTCTCCCTCTTTGTCTCTCTCTCCCTCTTTGTCTCTCCTACCCCCCCTTCCTCTTTTTCTCTCCTCTCCCCTCTATTTCTCCTACCCCATCTCTCTCTCTCTCTTTCTTTCTTTCTTTCTCTCTCTGTCTCTGCTACCCCACTTAATTTCTCTCTACCCTTTCTCTCGTCTCTCTCTCTCTCTTCTACCCCCCCTTTCCTTTCTCTCTCCTCTGTCTCTCTTCTTTCTCCCTTTCTCTCCTCTCTCTCTCTCTCTGACCCCCTCTTCTCTCTCTCACTCTTTATCTCTCTCTCCTACCTACCCCCGTTTCTCTTTCTCTCTCTACCTCTCTCCTCTCGCTCCTCTGTTTCCTCTATCTCTTCTACCCCCACCCCATCTCTCTCTCTCTCTCTTGTCTCTCTCTTTCTCCCCCACTCTCTTTCTATCTATCCTGCCCTCACCCCATCTCTTTCTCTCTCTCTCTCTCTCTACTATCCCCCTTTCTTTCTCTCCTCTCTTGTCTCAACCTCTCTCTTCTCGCTCCTCTGTTTCCTCTATTTCTCCTACCCCTACCCCATCTCTCTCTCTCTCTCTCTCTTCTCTTTCTCTCTCTGTCTCTGCTACCCCACTTAATTTCTCTCTACCCTTTCTCTCGTCTCTCTCTTTCTCCCCCTCTTTCTCTTTCTCTCTCTCTCTCTTCTACCCCCCTTATCCTTCTCTCTCCTCTGTCTCTCTTCTTTCTCCCTTTCTCTCCTCTCTCTCTCTGACCCCCTCTTCTCTCTCTCACTCTTTCCCCGTTTCTTTTTCTCTCTCTCCTCTCTTCTCTCTACCTCTCTCCTCTCGCTCCTCTGTTTCCTCTATCTCCTCTACCCCCACCCCATCTCTCTCTCTTTCTCCCCTCTTTCTTTCTATCTCTCCTGCCCTCACCCCATCTCTTTCTCTCTCTCTCTCTCTCTACTATCCCCCTTTCTCTTTCTCTCTCTCTTTCTCTCTCTTTCTCTTTCTCTCTTCCTCTCTCCTCTCTCTCTCTGTCTTCCTCTATTTCTCCAACCCCCACCCCATCTCTCTCTCTCTCTCTCATCTCTTTCTCTCTCGCTTATCACCCCCCCGCCCTTATCTTTCTCTCTCGTCTGTCTCTCTTCTCCCTCTCTTTCTCTCCGCTCTCCCTCCCACACCCATCCTCTCTCTCACTCTCTCTCCCTTTCTCTTTTTCTCTCTCCTCTGTTCTTTCTACCTCTCTCCTCTTTCTCCTACCCCCCACCCCATTTTGCTCTTTCTCTTTCTCTCTCTCCTCTCTACCTCTCTCCTCTTGCTTCTCTATCTCTCACCCCATCTCTCTCTCGTCTCTCTCTTTCTCTCTCTCTCTATCTCTCTTACCACTACCCCATCTCTTTCTCTCTTCCTCTCTCTCCCTGACCTTTCTCTCTCCTCCGTCTCTCTTCTCGCTCTCTTTCTCTCTCTCCCACCCCCCACCTTTCTCTCACCCTCCGTCACTCTCTCCTCTGTCTCCTCTATCTCTCCTACCCCCACCCCATCTCTCTCTCTCTCTCTCTCTCATCTCTTTCTCTCTCGCTTATCACCCCCCCGCCCTTATCTTTCTCTCTCGTCTGTCTCTCTTCTCCCTCTCTTTCTCTCCACTCTCTCTCCCTCCCACCCCCATCCTCTCTCTCACTCTCTCTCCCCTTCCCCCTTTCTCTTTTTCTCTCTCCTCTTTCTCCTACCCCTCACCCCATTTTGCTCTTTCTCCTTTCTCTCTCGTCTCTCTCTACCTCCTACCCCATCTCTTTCTCTCTTCCTCTCTCTCCCTGACCTTTCTCTCTCCTCCGTCTCTCTTCTCGCTCTCTTTCTCTCTCTCCCACCCCCTCACCTTTCTCTCACCCTCCGTCACTCTCTCCTCTGTCTCCTCTATCTCTCCTACCCCCACCCCATCTTTCTCTCTCTCTCTCTCTCTCTCCCTGTTTCTCTTATCTCCCTCTCTTCCTTACCATTCTACCCCTTTTCTCTCTTTGTCTCTCCCCCTTTCTCTCACTCTGTTTCTCTCTAGCTTTACTACCGACTGACACCCGTTTCTTTTCTTTCTTTCTCTCTCCATCTCTCTCTCTCTTTCCCCACTCCCTCTCTTTCTCTCTTTTCTCTGTGTTTTTGAGACGTGACGTCGTTTCTCCTCCACCTGTCCGAGCTCAGATTATAATCTCCGTCTGTTTGTGCTGGATGCAGATTAGAGGAGGCAGGTATAAAGGTAAAGTCAGATTAAAACAGACACAGTGACTCTATTAAAGTTTCAGGCAGCTACTTTTATACGGTTTTAGTTTTTAAAATGACTCGAGTTCGGTTGCTTAAATGCAGCCGCTGACAATAAACATGGGTGAGGCTTTGAAAGGTAATTGTGTTTTAAATTCAATGCGATTTTGAATTTAAACTTGAATTCTTGATTAACTTTTTGCGTTTTTTGTTTGTGCTTTTTTGTTCACAGGTTTGAGGTTCCTGAGGGCCTTAAGGTTGATTCAGTTTTCAGAAATTTTACAGTTTTTGAATATTCTCAAAACAAGGTAAGTCGTGACGTTTTTTCGACAAATTTCTTAATTTTTTCCTTAGATCGTTGCATGTTTTTGTGTGTGAATGTTTGTTTTACGTTGGTTATTCTCATCTGGTGAGTTGGGGGCTACTGTCCAATATTTTATTTACATTTATTTTACATTTTATTATTGAGCTGAATTCAAAATAAGAATCTTGTTTTGAATATTTTTTACATCTTTATCTCATTTTGTAAAATTTTGTATTTCTATTGATTATTTTTTTTTTTTTATCAAATCAAATTTTCTTAATAAATACAATGTCAACATGATATTAATTTAAAAATATCTGTAAACCTTTGACAAAAAACTGAAAAAATAAGTCAAAACTACTCAAAAATAAGCGATTTTAAAGATTTTAACTGTGATTTTGCAAAATTACTGATAGTAAAAGTTCAAAAAGTAACACCACTTGAGAAAAGAATAAAATTATACTCTCAGCTGTTGTCATATTTCTATTTATTTATTTATTTTTTCACTTTGCGTCCGTAGTGAGAGCTTTGAGCACAGATGTCACTGGAGATTATAACCTTCTAATCTCTTTCATTCATGATTCGAGTCACATTTAATAACCCAGAATCCTACTTTGTGTCAATACTTTTACTCATAAATGTATTTTTCTTGTGTATTTTTTCTTGTGTTTTCGCAGTAACTCGATAAAACTGGTGAACCTGTGCTCCATCTTCATAAGCACATGGCTCACAGCAGCAGGGTTCATACATTTGGTGAGTGCCTGAATAAGACAGTTTTTAAAGTTTTGCCTAAATATATTAATTACATACAAAAGCAATTGGTTTTACATATATGAAAAACAACCACCATAGTGTGTTAATATTGTTATCACATTTTACTGTATTTGGTGTTTTCCCTGCCCTTGTTAGAGACAATGTAGATCAATACTGATAGACCTAGTTTGTTACCACTTGACTGACTTTACCGTATGTTTCGGACTATAAGTCGCACTTTTTTTCCTGGTTTGGGTGTTTCCTGTGATTTATATATATTAAAAATTTCACACTGAAGCGTTGAGAATCTTGTGTCTGCTGCTCCTGTTCCTCCTGTATCACTGTCACTTGGCTCTACTGCACATGTCTCCTGCAGAAAGAGCCTCTGTCCCGTCTGTATCATGTCAGTCGATCACACCGTTACTTCTGCACCACTGAAAAATTTAACATTTAAACAAACTTATAAAGACACTGAGAAGACTGAACACAAATGCCCCCAAAAAGAAAATCATATTTTGCAGATTAAAAACTGCAAGTAGAGAAATATTCAGCTGAAAATGGTAATCGAGCAGCAGAAAGAAAGTTTAGAGTGAGTGAGAAACTTGTGACACCGGGAGGATGCACCATGAAACTTTCCTGGAGTCACTGGATGGATGGACAAAGTCTGGACTTCAGTGACACTGAAACCATCCTGTCAGGATTCAGAAAGACCAGAATAATTCTAACTGGAACTGATGCTGAGTCTGACGACAGCGACACAGAAGAGGAAGCGGCGCAACGTTACCTCTGGAGGTCGTGGAGTTGTTCAGAAGTGACACCGAGGATGAAGAATTGAATGGATTTAGTGATTTGGAGTGAGATGGAGAGTTTGTTAAACTTGTTCTGTTCTGTTGTTTATGTTATAGTTTATCTGAAGAACTGTTCATATGTGACGTTAACAGTCTGTTGTTCTCTCTTCTATTGTTTTTACTAGAACTTGAATTTCAAAATGAAATGTCAGTTCCTGGTCTCTGATTTTATAAGGTATATTTCCCCCAAAAAGTGCAACTTATACTCCGGAGTGACCTATAGTCCAAAAAATACAATGTTTAGTAGACTGCTGTTGTGTCTTCACCCATCTTAGTATGACTGTGGTGTGTGTGTGTGAGTGGTGGTGTCAATCTGCCCCAGGACGACTGTGGCTGCATTAGTATCTCACCACCACTAAGTGTGAAATGTAAAGTGTCTTGAGGTGATAATAATAATGTGCTTTTTATAAATGTCCTAATGACTGTTGACATTTGCTCTTTGACTTAAACCTGAGTGTATTTCTCCTTCAGCATTTTGTCTCCTCTAGGCACCGGCTGGAACAGGAAGTACTGAAACCATTTTTGAATCTTTACAAACCCTGAATGCGTCTTAGATTAATTTATTGTTTATAATATTTTAACTGGGCTAATATAATTCACAATATTTTTTATTGAAAATGAAAATATACAACAGTGTGTGACTATTAATGTTAAGGAATCCAATGATGCTTATGTTTCATTTACATATTAGTGCAAAGTATTTAAAAAAAAAAAAGATGAAAATGCGTATAACAGGTTTTGATGATTCTCTAATTTTGACTTAACTTGATAGGACAAAACCTGTAAATATATTAGATTGTTTTCCACCAACCAAGAAGTAATTTGTGAAGAAAAGTTGAAAAATATGTTGAAAAGTACAGAAAGTAAAAAGTTCTAAACGCACTAGGGAGAATTTTATCCAAACGTTGGGCACATTTTACATGCAGTAATTATTTGTACAAAATAATTCTGGGATTTTTGTATTTTTATTTGTCTAACCATAATCTCTGTGGACTGAAAAATGTTTTAAATGATCAGTAAAATCTTAATATAATGGTCATGAGAGTATATGAGTGCGTATAGTTACCACACATGCATCACTAATTTTGGATTTCCGGTCATCGCGCAATCCATACTGGGAAGGATTTTCCGAAAAAGTGAGCATCAAACCTCCATGTTTGTTTTCCCAGTGGGATGCGTCTATTGACAAAGTCGATCTTTTCAAGTCTTTTGAACCATATCGCTTTTGTTTCTGGTTCTGATATTGTCATATTGTAGTTCTGGGATTCGGACATCGTTAATCGTGCGGTTGTTGGATCCTAACAGCGGAAAACAGTTTGAGAAACGGGCTTCGGAAGTTTGCGAACTCCATAAATGCAAAAGTGAATCAGATGTGTGCGACTGCAAACCTCTGTTCAAACTGTTTCCCTTCAGAACGGAATTGAAAAATAGTGAAAGGTGAAGGTGATGGGCAGGATTGATCCACAGGAAGGACCAAAAATGAAACCTGTGGCTGCCTACGAAATCATCCCGAGTTTGCAGCGAACATTTTGTATTTGGAGCGACAACAAAGCAAAATCCCGTTTGTTAATCGAGAGGTGCAGAAGACAAACGGGCCGAGCTCGCACTTTCTTGTTCGACTCTACAGCAACATCACGTCTTGGTCTCTTTGCGGTGGAAGGTGTTTCCTGGTGAACGGCTGGTGCCTTTCGCTTTGACGTTGACTTTTTAAATTCGTAACCGAGTTTGAGCGAGGGATCGGGATTTTGCTTTGTGTCTTTGTCACATCCCGCTGGGAAAACAAACATGACGGTTTGATGCTCACTTTTTCGGAAAATCCTTCCCAGTATGTATTGCACAATGACCCGAAGTCAGAAATTTGTGATGCATCTGTAACATTTAGACGCTTTGAAAAATCGATACGCTAAATTTATTCCTATGAAGCTGTATTCTAGAAAAAAAGACTTATTGAAACCCCATATATTATCTGCAGTATTTAGTATCTATGTAGACATTTCCGTGTATAATTGGTCATTTTTTTCCAGGTGGAGAATTCTGGGGACCCATGGGAGAACTTTCAGAACTCGCAGGCCCTGTCGTACTGGGAGTGCGTGTACCTCCTGATGGTCACCATGTCGACGGTGGGGTACGGAGACGTGTACGCCAAGACCACGCTGGGGAGACTCTTCATGGTCTTCTTCATCCTCGGAGGACTGGTAAAAAAATGCATCCATGTTTATCTAGAGAACATGTTTAAAACTTCAGAACTTTATTACACCTCACACTGGGCGCACGTCCGATCCAACCATTTCTGTGTTTGTGCTCGTGAGCGTCGACCAAAGCGCCGGACATATTATTAGGCACAGCTGTCGTGAGTCTTAAAGGTGCAACTTTTCTCGCTTGTTTCCATGGAGATGTCGTTGTTTTGCCTGGAATGTTCCATTGTCTAACAGCAGGGTTCCCACTCTTTTTTTACTGACAAAATTTCAAAACGTTTCCATGACTTTTCCATGACCTAAAGGGAATTTTCCATGACTTTACGACACCTACATGCAGTGGCGGAGTTAACAATTTGGGGGCCCTAGGTGAACTTGACTTTGGGGCCCTCACTATAATGCACCGTTTTTTTTATTTTATTTATTTTTTAATATATATTTATGGTCTGTTTTTCCCCACTGTCTCTATTTATTTGAATTATGATGGATTAGAAACTTGTCTTATTAGTTCGGTCGCCGACTACAAAACCAGATCTGAAAGTAGTTTTATTTTTTTGCTACTTCAATTAAAATTTTATTTACATCCATTATGATTATTATTATTATTATTATGGCAGCAGGGTTCCCACTCTTTTTCACTGAACAAAATTTTAAAACTTTTCCATGACTTTTTAATGATGTAAAGCGAATTTTCCATGACTTTACATGCAGTGCTGGAGTTAACAATTTGGGGGCCCTAGGTGAACTTGAGTTTGGGCCCTCACTACAATGCACCGTTTAAATAAATAAATAAATTAATTAATTAATTAAATAAATAAACAAAATTATTATTATTATTATTATTATTTTTTTATTATTTTTTTTTTATTATGTCATACTGTGGAATATTCCAGGCAGAGCAATGACGTATCCATAGAAACAAGCAGATGAAAAGTTACACAGTGCACCTTTAGTTGACACAGATCAGTTGTAGTAAAGCAAAGTAAATCTTCCTAATAATTTGTTCGGCTTTGGATCATCTCAGCATTTGTTGTTGTGACATAATGCTGTTATTTTTCATTTATTGCATTTTATTAATCACAGTTTTTACATTTTAAAGTGTTTTAATTTCAGGAGACTTCATCCCAACTCCCTTTTCCAACAAACACCATGACGATTGTGGAAGATTATTTGTTTCATTAGATTTGGAATTTTAAATACCACGGAATTTCTTGCTTTGATTTTTTTATCTTGAATTATTTTTATTCTGAAGTTTACATTTTCAACATTTTTAAAAATTATAAACTGCAAATTCACCTTTTAAATATTCAGCACAAATATTTTCAAGCCCCAAATTCAACAGTCAAAATCCAAAGTGTGAAATTTGCAGTAAAAATCCAAGATGCCAAGAAAAAAGCATCGATTGTGAAGACAGAAGCAGTTTCCTATTGGCTTTTTTAAATTTAGTTTTGTTTATTGCAACTGCAGCTGCAACTTTATTTATAATGCACTTTAAAAACAAAGTGCTACAGGACATTATTAAATAAAAACAATAAAACAATATATGAATCAAAACAGAATCTAATAAAAATGATCTAATAATAAAATGTCAACATCTTAAACTGTGTCAAAAGGCAAAGTGAACAAATGTGTTTTAAAAAGAGATTTAAAAACAGAGACAGAAACGGTTTAAAAGTTTCCAAAATTGTTAAGAAATGGACTAAACAAGGACTAAGCAAGGACTAAACCAGGACTAAACTAGAAAAGCACTCAGAGAGCGCAGACCTCCGCCAAGGAGGTTATGTTTTTGCCGGCATTTGTCTGTTTGTTTGTTTGTCTGTTTGTTTGTCTGTTAGCAACATAACTCAAAAAGTTATGGACTGATTTTGATGAAATTTTCAGGATTTGTTGGAAATGTGAAAAGGAAGAACTGATTTCATTTTGGGGCTGATCCGGAAGAAATCCTGGATTCTGGATCACTTTGAAATTTTACTTAACATTGTGGTAAATGGGGCCAAAAAATTTTGTTTCTCAATATCTCGGTTAATTAGTGACCAAACCCCATGAAATTTGACTCAGGGATGGACAATGAGATCCTCTTTCATATTCCAAAGGCTGATCCGGATCTGATCCAGAAGATCAGAATTTATATAAAAAATGGGGTTAGTCCTTGGCGGAGGTCTGCGCTCTCTGAGAGCTTTTCTAGTTGTGTTTTCCATAAATATTTGTCTTGTATCTTTCAATTTGGAATATGAAAGAGGATCTGATTGTCCATCCCTGAGTCAAATTTCATGGTGTTTGGTCAATAATTAACCGAGATATTGAGAAACTAAATTTTTGGCCCCATTTACCACAATGTGAACTAAAATTTCAAAGTGATCCAGAATCCAGGATTTCTTCCGGATCACCCCCAAAATGAAATCAGTTCTTCCTTTTCACATTTCCAACAAATCCTGAAAATTTCATCAAAATCGGTCCATAACTTTTTGAGTTATGTTGCTAACAGGCAAACAAACAAACAAACAAACAAACAAACAAACAAACAAACAAACAGACAAACGCCGGCAAAAACATAACCTCCTTGGTGGAGGTAACAAAGACTAACTCAGGACTAAACCAGGACTAAAACAGGAGTAAAACAGGACTAAAATGGGACTAAAACGGGACTAAACCGGGACTAAACCAGGACTAAACCAGGACTAAACCAGGACTAAACCAGGTCTAAACCAGGACTAAAACAGGACTATAGAACCTCTGGTAGATGACAACCATTACAGACCAGGAACACATCAAGAGCTGCAATTAACCAGGACTAAACCAGAACCAAACCAGGTCTAAAACAGGTCTAAAACAGGTCTAAACCAAGTCTTTTGGCCTGATCTGATCTGTGTTGTTCAGACTGTCATTAAAAGTTCAAAAACAGGTCACATAGGGGCGAAAAAATCGGATTCGGGTCACTTCAGGCTGCAGGCTGAGTTAGATCTGGTCACTTGGGGACAGTTGCTTCTGCCTTCGCTTCTTGGCTCTTTGCTGCAAATCTTTCAAATATCACACTCTGAATTTCAATTGTTGAATTTGAGGGCTTGTAAATATTTTAGTGTGTGTGATTTTTTTTTTTTGAATTTTTAAACACTTTGAAAATGTCTACGCAAAATTTCACTAACTGAAATTCAGACAAAAAATGATTCAAACACATTTATTCAGAGTTTAAAAATTCAAAGTGAGAAATTCAACAACATTTAAAATTCTAAATCTGATGAAACATGATCTTCCATCAGTTCATTTGGAAAAACTGAAAAGATGGAATTTGTTCAAAGATTTCAGACTTTTGACTCATGTGTCGTTCTTTTATTAGTTTATAAATTAATATTTCAGTCTTTTGTCAAATGTATAATATGAACTATGAACTGGATTCTGATTTGTAAACTTAAAATTTGAAGATGCAAGTCGGAAATCAAATCAAAAGATCGTGTTGCGCCGATGAGACGTAAATACAAGAGAAAACGAGACAAACCATCAGGCACTTTGAACGACAGAAGCTTTTGGGAGATTTAGAGGAAAATCTGTGAAGGATTAAACACGAGATCGTGACAAAAAGAGTCATTTTGTCTGAGATGAGAAAGAGGGAGAGAGAGAGAGAGAAAGAGCGGAGAGAGAAAGAGGGAGGGTGAAATGAAAAGGGAGGAGAGACAGGGATAGAGAAAGAGAGATAGAGGGACTGAAAGAGAGAGAAAGAGAGAAGGGAGAGAGGGAGAAAGGAGACTGAGACAGAGGGTGAAAGACAGAATGAGGGGGAGAGAGACTAAGAGAGAGACTGAGGGGGGAAAGAGAGAGGGAGAGAGAAATAAAGAAAGAGAAAAAAGGCAGGGGAGAGAGAAAGAGGGAAAGACTGAGAGAGAGAGAAAGGGAGAGGTATAGAGAGAAAGAGAGGGAAAGACAGAAAGAGGGAGAGAGAGAGAGAAACTGAGAGGGAGAACTAGAGAGGGAGAGAGAGACTGAGAGAGAGGAGGAGAGGTAAAGGGAGAGACTGAGAGAGAGAAAGGGAGAAGGAGAGAGAGTAAGAGGAGAGAGACAGAGGGTCTGAAAGAGGGAGAAAAAGAGAGGAACCCGAGAGAAGAAAGAGAGAAAGAAAGAAAGAAAGAGAAAAAAGAGAGGAGAGAGATGGACTGAGAGAGAGAGAGAGAGCGGAAGAAGGAGAGAAAGAGAGAGAAAAAGAGAAAGATCGAGTGAGATTGAGGCTCTGACTGAAACAAAAACAACTCTACATTCAGTTCACTTTAATCGTCAGAAGCTAAAACACATAAGAACATAAAAACAATTTGATTTATTGAAGTGACGAGTGCAGAACAGCAGAATTTATTTTAATATAATAATTGTCTGAATTTGTTTTAGTTGTAAAAGTCAGAATCTGAAGGCTCCATCTCTTCCCTCTCCTCTCTCCAAATGAACTGGACATGTGTTTGTTGGACTAAACATGGCACAAAAGGATTCCCCTATCTTTTATTTTTTTATTACTTATCTTTATTTACCCATAAACTCCTCATTTATGATATTTTTTTTTTCCTTTTAGTCCAAACTTTAATCTGATTTTCACCATTTCTACATTTGTCTTCATTTCTATTTTTAAATTAGAGACTCAATTAAATTTTTAGCAGATTTACAGAGATTTTTTTTTTTCACTATTTTGGCAACCCAGTCTCTCAATATTACAGAATTATTCCTGCATTTTTCTTTGTTTCTGAAATAAATTAATAAAAATCATCTGTTTATATAATACTTTGACCAATTACAATGTGTCTCAGTCATAGAATAGCAATAGTCCTTTTTCACTGCGGCTGGAAGTGCCACGCTGTAGGTTTGCGGAACTTCCAGTTAATGCTTTTCTACGGCAAAATATCTATGGAAATGTCTCGCGTATTTTCCACCAGCTTCATAAATCTGCCCCATCACCAAATCTTGAACCAACAAGGATAAACATGAAGAATTTATCCACAACTATCAAGGTAAGAAAGACGAAAACTTAAAGGTGAACAACGACGAGCATTAGTGAAAGGTTGTATGGAGGATTTTTTTTGTTTTTGTTTTGTTTCAAGTTGTCAATGATAGATTATAGAGATGCAGTAGCCTTGTAATTATGATGACCAAAAAAAAGAGAATAAAAATTCATCAACTCTGGACGTGGTGGGGCTAAACATTTGCCAATAGATAACGACACTGCCTCGTTATCTGTGAGCTGACAGGCTGTCAATCAAACTCCCTACGTTTCTAGTGTAACTGACTTGCCTGCGCGCCGCCGTTACGTGGTTTACGTACGACTGTCACGCAGTCCACAGACGCAAGACGCACAGACGCTGTTTACTCCACCAACGCAACAGTTCTTAGCGGCTTTTTTTTGACCTATATCTTCCTCGCAGTTCGCACAAAGTTTGTTGCAATGGCGACAAGAATCCAGGAGCAGTTCGCCGCAAAAGAAAGTCCGTTTTTGAGGTCGCTGAAAGAAGAAGACAAGGGGAAAAGCAGCGAAGCCAAACTAAGGTGATTCTTGAAGATTCATTCCAGCGATGGCGCGACTGAAGCAGACGCAGGGTCTAAAGACTGACGCACTGGTCCACAAATTACTCCTGGACAGGAAACTTCTGCTTATTATGAAAACGTACTTTATTTCCAAGAGCTACACAAACGTTTTTCAGGACACGAAAGCGATATCCTATGTCTGAAAACGTAATTTTCAAGGCAAAGAAAGAGTCCGCTTGCTGCTGCGTGTTGTAGCTAGTTCATTCGCACTGAATCTCCGCGCAACCTTCTCTGCACCCCTTTCCTGCTCCTCTCCCCGCTGCCCGATCTGCTCTTCTCCCTGCTCCTTACTTCTCCGGGCACAGAATCTCCGCGCACCGCTCCCCTCTCCCCTCTCTCCTCTCCTCTCTCCCTGCTCCTCACTTCTCCGTCTTGCCTAACCAACACTGTAGTTAGTTGTTTACAAGTCATGTGCAGCAGTTGTAAACAAACCTGTTTCTGGCGTAAGGAGGAGGAGGGAGGAGGTGTTTCTACGTAGGAGCTGTAGGGGAGGGGGGGTGGTTTCACGCATGCGCAACATTTGAAAAAGGACAAACAGTCGCTGGATTTCTCGTTCCTTGGAAAATCCTCTATACAACCTTTAGTGAACTACTGAACAAAGCCAACGTTATGGTATCCTAGGTTACGTTTACACTGAACCACATCACCATATCACCGTATCGGAAACGATTTGCGTCCAGACACGTCGTTTCCGTGTCCGCAATCCTTCCCTATCCACACAGCATTGAGAATATTTGTTTACGTTTTACAGAAATGAAACTTAAAACTGCATGGCTCATTTGCATAAACTAAAAAAACTGCTCGCTCCTTGTGCGCTGATGCGGTTCAGTTTCTGTCGGACTAAAGGACACGACTCAGTGGAATATGAGTGTTGTTTCTGTGACAGAGGGGTGTTCTGCTGATGGTGAGTCTGTTCTGTGTTTCTATCGCGTTGGAGATGGTTCATGTGAAACTTTTCAGAGATTAAACGTCTGCAGGTCGTACACACAGACACACGTTTATATGAATGGACATATATTCTAACCTCTCAGTGTTTTGGCGGTGAATTACTTCGCGGCGCATTGAACTACATCAGAGTATCAGCGTTTTCAGGCGTCCACACGGTGCCGGATCAGATTCGTTCTCAGATGAATTCGCGGGAGCTGGCGGCACCAGATTGTTCCGTCTCTGGAGTCGTTTTCCGTGGGATTAGTGTGGACGAATATTATATCCACAACGAAAACGACTCGAATACTGGAGTACTAGTGTGGACGGGGCCCTGGAGACTGTGGGTTTTTTCGGAAGGTTCAATGCGTGTCCTAAAAAGAAGCACAGGAGATGGAGAATCCGAGAGAACAGGCCACTTTATTTTAGCATTTCCATTGAGAGAGATTCAAGTTGATTACCAAGTACAACTGCCACCGCCTCTGACCAACTCAAAATCAGGGGTAGCTTTATACTACATCTTGACAAAACATTAACTTGTTGATTTAGCATATACAGCAAGAAAATGAACAATACTGCTGACCCAGTGCACCTTATCATGGGTGGGAACATGCCACGGGGTCCACATATGTCAGTTTTTCTGCTTCGTGGCACTCAAAGTCCAGAAAAACATGTTCTTTATGGCACTCAAAGTACAGAAAAAACATGTTATATAGACCTATAGATAGTCATACGTGTTTTCCACCCTGTTGTCATTCCAAAGTCCATAATATTAGGTGAATTAGCATGACCAACACATAATATTTCCCACAAGACGTCTCGCATTTGAACTGCACAAATCTGCTAATATCAACATTATGAAATCGATTTTTAATTTTAATCGTAGAATCAGTCTGACTTAACAAGTTACTTCTCAGTTATTTTCTGTCACGCCCCCCTAGGAAGAAGAAAACATTTCGTGACCCCCCCCCACTCCACAGAACCACAACAAAACATGGAAAAATCATACCCTCGCCTTCAGTCGCCTACATACTCCCCACTCTTTAAGAATGACTGCCATAACGTTTGTTTTGTTCAGTAGTTCACTAATGCTGGTCATGGTTCATGGTTCAGTTTTTGTCTTTTTTGAACCTTGATAGTTGTGGATACGTTCTTCATGTTTATCCTTGTTGGATGAAGATTTGGTGATGGGGCAGATTTATGAAGCTGGTGGAAAATACACGAGACATTTCCACAGACATTTTGCCATAGAAAATTGTTAACCGGACGTTCTGCAAACCTACAGCGGGACACTTCCAGCTGCAGTAAAAAAGCTCTATAATAAAAAAATAAAATAACATAGAGAAATACTCATAATATACTTACATTTGCATACTCTTTGAACAGTTTTTTGTGTTATTATATATTGTATAAAGATCTAGCAGTATCCTGTGTCTGAAATGGGTGATTTCAACTACAATTTATATATTTGTCACTTGATGTCTCCATGGAGATGTTATTACTTTGTCTAGAATGTTCCACGGTAAAAATTAAACCTGTCTATAGGCGAGTTTCAGCTGACGTCATTGTTATTAAAAGCCCGCGTTGCATGCTGGGAAATATTTTGGTCGGAGGCAAGAAACACAGTGCGTAACCTCGTGTATTTATCCCCGATAATGGTAAATTCCTGCTGCATTATCGGATGCACAAATAGAAGCACGGAAGAAGGAAAATGTCTTTTTCGTATTCTGAGTGAAAAGAACCGCTAACGGTGAATTAAACGGCTTTCAAACATTCGCAGAGCAAACGTAGAAGATCCTAACAAACCGTGGACTCCAACAAGTTCAACAACACATCGAGACTCTTGGAGGTTTTCATCTTTTCTGCTGTGAATGGCCCAGGAGTTTCCACCAAGTCATTGTGGATATCACCCAAGTGAATATTTGTCCAGGTAGTTGGCGATTCTGACCAGAAATTTGGTTTGGTCCACCTTTTGTCGGGGTTGAAAAGGGTGATTTGTCGTCCGTCGATGCTTATGACCAATTTCTGGTCAAATCGTCTTCGGTCCTCTGTCGTTAGAGTGGATAAATAACCGGGATCAATACCCTTTACGTCAGGGGTGTCAAACTCATTTTGGTCCGGGGGCCTTATCCAGCCTACTTTGATCCCAAAGGGGCCGGATCAGAAAACTCATGTCATATAAACCCCAAAAATAACAATAAGTTCAAATATTTGTGCAGAGAAACACAAATCTATTACAGAAATCTTTTTTAATTGATGAACTCTTTCTTATTATAATATTATGAACAACCTGAAACTTGAAGAAAAATTCAATTTCAACACAAAGTTTTAACATGAACTTGTTTGCAAACAGGAATAAGTCAGTTTTTCTTGTAAAATCCTGCACTCGGCTCCAGTTTTCTCATGTTGGACATTTTGTTGATGATTGTGTCACGGTCAACAGTCAAAACGATCGTCCTTTAAGAGCGTTTGGAAAGAGACAAGTCTTCATTTGTGCTGCTCTGGTGGGAGGGGCCACGTACAGAGACGCTGGAGACGCTGCTGTGATAAACACCACAGAAAATTACCAATATTTTAATAGAAAATATCATTAAAATATTTTAGTAGAAAATCACCCAAGGGCCACATTAAAGGTCTTGGAGGGCCGGATCTTCCCCCCGGGCCGTATGTTTGACACCTGTGCTTTACGTGCTTTCTCGCTCCGTCCGTCATGTCGAAATTAGTGTTTCTTGCCGCCGACCAAAATAATTCCCAGCATGCAACGCGCGCTTTTGTCAACAATGAAACTCGCCTATGACAAGGAAAACAATCAGGTTACAGCTTTACTCTGCGTTACAAGTCAGATCTGTGGAGACTCGCCCCTGTTCACAGAAGGAAATATTGTATTTTTGAGCGGCGTAAACACCCGTAACGAATAAACGCTTCGATGGAAATGTTTAAAGTCACGCCAAAAATAATAACATCTCCATGGAGACAAGCAGGTTACACAGTGCAGCTTTAATCTGGACTGTAACGGAGCTGGGTTGCCTTCTTTAATCTCACATTTGAACGTTTTTTGACACGGCCGCTGCTCCTGTGTCTCCTGCTTTAGCCTCTTCTCTGTCTATCTCCTCCTTAGGCCATGTTTGCCAGCTACGTCCCTGAAATCATAGAGTTAATAGGAAATCGAAAGAAATACGGCGGCTCCTATAGTGCCGTAAATGGTCGAAAGTAAGTATTTTGGGGGCGCCCGTGTCCGGAGAGCCCCGTGCATGCTTTTGTTTTGTTTCTGTTTATGCATGTAGGCCATGTTTGCTCGCTACGTACCAGAAATTGCAGCTCTCATCCTAAATCGGAAGAAGTACGGAGGGAGCTATAACTCGACACGAGGCCGGAAGTAAGTGCCGAGAAATATTTACGGTGTGGTTTACGTGTGACTTTAGTGGAGTTTAAAGGACCCGTGTTACGCAAAAGTGACTCTTGTGAGGTTTGAGACGTGTTGTAATGTTGTGACGTCATCAAAAACAGACTGGAGTTGTGTTTTGTTTCATTCACATGTTTGAGTAACACTTTATTATCAGTCTGTCTGTATCTGTAAATCTCAAAATGCTCTGTTCCAGCTTGTGGTGTCATGAAACTGTAGTCAAGTTAACTTTACCTTTAGTTCAGTAAAGATTGGCAGTTCCAGGTAAACCAGGACTAAAACAGGATTGAAACATGATTAAACCAGGACTAAACCAGGCTAAAACAGGACTAAACCACGATTAAACTAGGACTAAAACAGGAATAAACCAGGATTAAACCAGAACTAAACCAGGACCAAAACATGACTAAACTAGGACTAAACTAGGACTAAACCAGGACTAAAACAGGACTAAACCAGGGCTAAAACAGGAATAAACCAGGATTAAACCAGAACTAAACCAGGACTAAAACAGGATTAAAAGAGGACTAAAATAGGACTAAACCATAACTAAACCAAGACTAAAACAGGACTAAACTAGGACAAAAACAGGACAAAAACAGGACTTAAACTAGACTAAACCAGGGCTCAACCAGGATTAAACCAGGATTAAAACAGGACTAAAATAGGACTAAACCAGGGCTAAAACAGGAATAAACCAGGACTAAACCATAACTAAACCAAGACTAAAACAGGACTAAACTAGGACAAAAACAGGACTTAAACTAGACTAAACCAGGGCTAAAACAGGAATAAACCAGGATTAAACCAGAACTAAAACAGGATTAAAAGAGGACTAAAATAGGACTAAACCATAACTAAACCAAGACTAAACTAGGACAAAAACAGGACTTAAACTAGACTAAACCAGGGCTCAACCAGGACTAAACAGGGACTAAACAGGGACTAAACAGGGACTAAACCAGGACTAAACCAGGACTAAAACAGGACTTAAAACTAAACAGGACTAAAACAGGACTAAACCAGAACTAAAACAGGGCTAATCTTAGACTTGAGAGAGAACAGGGAGAACGCTGGTCTTTCTGCCTGCGGACACCCACTCAGTCCTGGTTCAGTTCTGGTTTAGTCCTGGTTTAGGTCTGATTTATTTCTGGTTCAGTCCTGGTTTAGCACTTCCTGTGTTACCACATGACATCACAAGGTGGAACAGAGTGTTTTCTATTTGGGAGAAGAACTCAGCCTAAATATGCAGAGTTTGTGTTTTTAAAGGTGTGAATGAAACAAAACACAACTCAAGGTCTGTTTGTGACGAGAAACAACATTAAAACAGATTAAAAAAATAACGTAATATGGGCCCTTTAAAAATATAGATAGTAGAATAAAAACAGAGAGAAGATAGAGGTTTATTAAAGAGTTTATAAAGTCACACTGAGGCTGAAGAACAGGCCATTGTCATTGTTGCTGCTTCACTGCTGCTTTAAATGTACAATCAGTGCCATTTTATACTGGGAAAATCTCAATAAAAAAGCATTATTTATTTATATATGTTTTTATTTTCAGTAGATTTAATACAGATGTGCTTTGTTCACACATCAGACTAGTTTGTACTACTGTTGTGTCACTGGGCAAGACTCTTCACCCACATTACCTAGTATGAATGAGCGATGAATTAAATAAATATGACTTTCTAGCTCTTCGAGAGTCACAGCAAACTTATAAAGTGTAATAATACTGTAATGTAAGGCCTTATATTTAAACATCACAATACAGTTTTGTACAGTATATTAAATTAACTCTACTTATTTACTTTTACTCCTTTACTTTTTGTTTGTATTTATGATATTTGGCAAATTGGCATGCATTTCAATTACTGTTTTAGTACATGACAAAAACTCAAATCTAGATAAATTAAGATGATTTGAATGAATACAGTTTCATCATGATTGGAGTAAATTTCACTTGACAAGTAAAATTATCTAGCGCCACCTAGTGCCTCCACTCAGTTTCATTTCTCTCCAGTGACTAGGTCAGGAATCAGAATACACTAAACGGTTCACAAAAACCTCGGAAGTTGTAGATCGCACACCGGCCAATCAGAGAAGAGCTGTGAAGTCATGACGTCAAACTCGTCGCGTCTGTCTGAGTCCCTTTTGTGGTAAAACACAACAGTAAACAAAGCGTCGAGATGGACGTAGACGAAGACAGACATTCTGTGTTGGCAACGATTCCCGAGACTGAGGATTTAAAGCCAGAATAAAGAGAATGTTTGGTGAATTTTATTAAGAGAAAAGACGTTATTGCCTTTCTTCCTACGGGATTTGGTGCATTACATACGTTACGACCAAATAGCGTTGATTGGTTAAATGAAAAAAGTACCCGCCTACCGTCAAGCGAACGAATACTAATGCTGCGAGGACAGACGGTTTCCACAAAGTGAAACCAGCTGATGAATCAGGCTAGAAGTGATCTGCTAGTGGAACAAGACTTTCTGTGCTTAATACATTTTGTTACAGTTAAGATAGAAGAACAACAACTCTTTAAAATCTCTCTCTCTCTTAAAATATGAAAATAAAATATGAAACAAAATCTAATGTTGTTTGAATTAAGAAAAAAACGACCTATTCCAATGGTAGATCATTTTACTTGTCAAGTTGAATCGACTCAAATAAAATCAAATGTTCTTAATTGTCAAGTCACTTTAACTTACCTAGATACTGTTTTTTTGCAGTGTAGTATCTAATATTATAGTATTTATATAGTTACAAAATACTATGTTTTGTCAAGAAGCAAACCTCGTGTATTAGAAATGAGAAGAAAAGGACATTTCATTTCAACGAGTTTAGTTTAAAACAGATTCTTTTTATTGAGATTTTCCACTGTGGTCACATTTGTGTTTCGGTGATGGAACATGAAGGATTTTCACAGTATTTGACAAATTTATTTTAATCTCATCACAGTATAAAATGAATTCAGTTTGATTTTTCATACAATATGTAAGTAATAGATAATTTTCAATCTGTTATGACATTTTGAGAGCTTTTTACCGTTGAAAAGATTTAATATTTAGTTATATTTTTATAGTTTCTATGGGTACAGTCCTTATTTTCCATCTTTCTGAAATCCCACTCAGAAAATTTACCCTTAAGATTTTATAAACACATCAGAAAATCCTTCATGCTAACTGTTGGTGCTCATTTTTGTATGTTATTTAAAATTTTGCGTGTTTTTTTACACTGTTCTGAACACACAAATCAAAACATCATTGTTTATTCACAAAAGCATCAGATAACACACGGCATTCACTTCACAACTTCTATTATATCACAAAAAATACTCCAATAATATGCATATTTTCAACTATTTCTTTCATTTGTGTGCTACTATTGTTATAAAATGTTTCCCATCAATGTCAATATCACCATTTTTGACACAGCAAAGCACGAAGAAACCAGACACGCCCAGTCCCACATCGTTCACTCACTCATCCGTGTATAAAATAAAGAATAAAACATAATATTTATAACATTTATATAATATTTTTATCACTACATTAAATCATTACTTCATTTCATTTCTGCTCCTGGTTTCTTTCTGGTTTTTTCTCCTTTTGAAAAACTCTCTGTGCTCTGCTGCTGCTGTTGCTTTTGGCCTTTCTCTTCAGTCCAACCTACACCTGCAGAAATAGGGACCAAACTTTTAATGAATAAGTAAATATTTAATACTTTAAAGCCCCACTGTGTAACTTTTTAGCCCCAAAATAAACTAAAATTAAAGGTGCATTGTGTAATTTGTCTGGTGGAGAGTCCGTCAAACGTGTTTATCCATGGAGATGTTATTGCTTTGTCTGGAATGTTCCACAGTATGGCATTAAAACTTTTCTATCTACGTGGAGATCAAACCAGATGGAGTTACAAGACAGATCTATGGAGAGGCGACGCCGCTCACAGTCAGAATGTTGTTTTTCTAAGTATTTTTGAGCTAAAAAAAAACACCTGTAATTGAATAAATATAAAGTAGAGCTGTTTAATGTCACACTGTGGAACATTCCAGACAGAGCAATGACATATCCATAGAAACAAGCAGGTGATGGACCACTACAGAAAAGTTACGCAATGCACCTTTAAAGCATGTTTTCATTGCGCTGAAACTTACCGTATTTTTCGGACTATAAGGTGCACTTAAATTTTTTTTCATTTTCTCAAAAATCGGCAGTGCGCCTTATCAGTCAATCAATCAAACTTTATTTATGGAGTGCTTTTCATACAAAAAAATGCAACACAAAGCACTTATAATCCGGTGCGCCTTATGTATTAATTCTGGTTGTGCTTACTGACTTTGAACCGATTTTATGTGGTACACGGCGCTCAAAAATCTGTCAAAATGTTTTAGTACGACTTTGGTAAACTACAAAGACGCACCACTTGACGGATTGTCGGAGCATTACGGCTACTGTAGTCAGGAGCCTCACAGAGTCGTGTCCTTTAGTCTGACAGAAGCTGAACCGCATCAGCGCACAAGGAGCGAGCGGATTTTTATAGTTTATGCAAATTTGCCTTGTGGTTTTAAGTTTCATTTCTGTAAAACGATAAACAAATGTGCGCAAAGCTGCATTAAACACATTATTACTCAATGTATATTTGAGTCGTCCTCATAGGAAGAAATAAAACAAACTTAAATGATCCACCCACATTCATAATCCACATTCACCAAGACAGAGAGGCAACACCGGGCGAATTACACGCCTGGACTAAAGGATCAGTCTCAAGTGTCGTCCAGTTTTTCGCTTAATGCCATTAATAATCCGGTGCGACTTTTGTATGAAAAAGAAATAGAATAGAATAGAAAAGAGAATTCAACATTACTGATATTGTGCCTTATAATCCAGTGCACCTTAAAGTCCGAAAAACGCAGTAGTAAACACGTGCCCTTACTGCAAATGGGCTTGCCTCTCCACAAACCCGACTTTTATCTGGCGTAGAGGCTTGTTGCCATGGAAATGCTGTTCCACGATACGGCATAAAACCGATACGTTTCCAAAGACAATGCTCTGAAGTGTGCTTTAAACTTTCCATTTCTACGGAATCATTTCGAGCGACATGCCACCTACAGAAAGTTACACAGTGTTGCTTTTAAAATATTGTTATAATAGTTAAGTATAGACCAGCTTTTTTAGTTTTCAGGGACCATATACAAATTCATTCACAAATAAAACAAAAGATTGACCAGTTTGAGCTGTTGCTATAAAGTAGAGAGAGTAGCGTTTATTTTTATAGCCCAAAAAGTTATAATTATAGAAAAAAATAAAAAATAATACAATAAAAACTTGCCTCGTGTAATAGAGTGGCTTTGGCTTTGGCTGTTTTTGTGTTTGTGGGTAGTGGTGGGTGTTGATTGACAGTTGAAACTACTATTTTTGTTGGTGATTCTAATCTAAAATCAACTTTTCTTAACTCATTTAACCAAATAATTACATAAGAAACTATAATTTATGGGGAATTTCCACTCTTTGGGTATTGATAATGCTAATGTATGAATGAGGAAGTCAAGTTGAAACGCCGAGAGAGGTAAGAGACCGTTATTGCTTTTACTTATCTAATTTAGTTGTTTTTTAATAAGATAATTTACTTATAATATGGGGAATTTCAGAATTTTAAATGACTTTTCTTCTTGTATCTTGTATAAAATATGTTTCTGTGGAAAAGTACACAAGTAAATATTATAATCTTGAATTTGTTTAGCTGTGTGCTTTAGAAATTATGATGGCCAAAAGGTAAATGTGAATGTTATAAAGGTGTATGGACTGTAAAAAAAAAAACAAAGGAGAATTTCTGGCCGGCCACCTGATGATGTCACGAGGTGCGACGGTCCATTTTAATGATACTGGTCCTTTAATATTTAACCCTCTCTTTTCCTTTCAGCGTCTGTGTTCTGGTAAACCTGACTTACCCTCACTAACTTCAGCTTCTGTTGTTTCATGTAACACTGACCTCATGTTAAATCCATTATAAAAGTTCATACACAGTTTTCAAAGTTATGGGGAAACTTTTATGTTGCTTTTTTTTTGCAGAAATTACATAAATTAGTACAATTCAAGATGGTATCATAGTCTGTAGAACAGGGGTGTCCAATACGTCACTCGCCAAGGCAGTGTGGGTCGATCTCAGTGTTGTAGTACTGGTACTGGTACTGTTTTTTTACGGTCTTTACGGTCTACGTGTTTGGACTCGGTCTCGTCTCGGACTCTGCGGCCTGTGCGCTCGTCTAGAGCCCGTGGACACTGCGCGGCGCATCACAAACACACATGCTCCCAGCGCACGGTTTCTCTGCAACAGCGTGTGCCCTTACGTACCAGTTAAACTTTTTAAAACATCCTACCTGTCCATCTGCGCCGCTCCTCGCCTTTTGACGCTCTCGCTCCACCCCACGTACAGCTTATGCTTGCTCATTAGAACGGCAAGACGAAATGCGAAACACTTCATTTTTGTGACAGTGTTGGTACAAAGCATGCGGCTATGTGGCTGAAGTTTAATAAAAGTGCACAAATGCATCTGTATTTGTCACGACATGCGTTTGGTAAATTTTCAGAGACCTGTAAATATCCCTGCAAAACCAGTAAGAGAATGTGGCACTGATCTGAAGGTTGGCGGTTCAAATCCAGTTCTCAACATAAACATCACAGGTTGAGCGGTCAAATCCACTGACCCACAGGTTGGCTGGTGTGATTCCAGCTCCCACAGATGAATGCTGTCGTTGTGTCCTTGGGCAAGACACTTAACCCACCTTGCCCACAGTGTCTGCGTACACTGGTGTGTGAATGTGTGTGTGAATGGGTGAGTGGTTCCTTGTTGTAAAGCGCTTTGAGTGCCTTGAAGGTGGAAAAGCGCTATAGAAAAATGTGACCATTTACCAGTGTAACTCCAATAAGGAATGTGAAAAAACAAGTTTAAAAATCCTACCTGCTTTCTTCACGTATGTCACCGTTTTCTGTGACAAAAGTGTCTGTCAGACAAACACGGGCTTTTTGAATTCACCAAAAAATGTATTGTGTTCTAGTGGCCACTAGTCTTGAGCCGGGACAGAGGGGGAGGGACTTATCCAGTTTTTATTATAGATCCATGGTGTAAGGGAGTGTGACGCCACCTATAGTGTTCAACTCCAGTCAAATGAAGCTCATAGAGGCTGGCGGTTATAGGAGCGAATTTGAAGCCATATTAGGAATTGTGCGAGCATTATTGCAACCACTGGTTTAGCAGGGAGCGGGCGCTTAGTAACGCTGTCAATCAAACCTGCTGCTTACGCTAGCAGGAGTGAAAAAATATAGAAAACGTATTAATGTTCATATCTTGACTTACAGACAAAATAGCGAAATAAAAACACCAGAGTCATGTAGAGCGCGTTAATACGTAGCGGGTTCACTGTGTCTATTTATCCTTGTATATACAGTCTTTGGTTGGGACCCTTAATCACTTCTCACATCTTTAGAAAAATAAATCAAATTGTATCTTTTTATTATGTTGAAATAAATCCGACACAACAAACCCAGTGAGCCCAGCACACATGATTCATTCTTAAATTCCACGTGAAAATACTACACTTCACGTTATTATCTGATATGTTTATAATCCTGCTCTAATCCTGATTTATAATCTGTGCCCTCTCAATCTGGGAGTACACAGAACCACACTGCCAAACAACCCCGCGTACTAGGATAACCAAATATTTCCGTTTTAATAATCTCTCGTTTCGATCTAGGTCAGATATAAGAAGAATTATTATTTTAGAGTGTTTCTTTAAAGGTCCGATATTACACACATTTGACTCTTGTGAGCTTTTAGTCAAGTTAGAATATTGTTACCTCCTCAAAAACAGACCTATTATTAGTGTGTCTACATCTCGAAAACTCAAAATACTCTGTTCCACCTTGTGATGTCATGAAGAGGTAGATTTCACATTAACAGACTTTTTTTTTTAACCTTTAGTTCAGTAGAGATTGGTAATTCCAGGGCTAAAATTAACCAAATGATTCTAGTGAAGGTGTGTGGAGTTTAAAAACACAGTGGAGCACTTCCTTCCTGTATCACCACATGACATCACAAGGTTGAACAGAGTGTTTTCAGTTTAAGAGAAGAACTCAGCCTAAATACGCAAGGTTTGTGTGTTAAACATCTGAGAATGAAACAAAACACAACTCCTGATATGTTTTTGAGGAGGAAATTATAACATAGATCAGAAAATAGTGTAATATTTTAAAATATCATACTTTAATTGTAGTTTTGTTGCCCATATTTTTGTCTTGCGGCTACACACAACATTGCAACACGTACAAAACTAGCTCATATTATAGGCTAATAAAACATTTTTGTTCAACAGTCACATTTTTTAAGTCAAGGTCAGAAAAGAAGAAATAGAAAAAATATACTGTGTCAGTTTTTATATAGTTTTTTAGTAGTGTTTGCCCTGGTGTTTGTCTTGCAGGCACATTCATAATCCAATCCATAGAACTAAAATAAAATCTGAAGTTGAACCCCAAGATGACATTGTATTATTTTCATGGCCTGTGTTCATTGGCACAGGGGCCCAAAAACTATTTTCGGGCGACCTCCTCCCACCGGTGTAATGTCTGTAACGTGCATGACCTGGAGCACTTGGACCAATCAGAGCCAGAGCTGCTAGAGCGGAGTTAGTGCAGCCTCTGGACGGGGCTAGGCTAACACTGCGTTCGATTATCCTTCCAAATCAGTTTTTTGAGGAAGTTGCTGAGAAATACACGTGACACACCCCTTTTTCTGGGACACGCGACTCAGACCTCAGTGGCGGAAAAAGTAGACCAAGCAAGAATTCCGAGTCAGAATCCAAGACGTGTAAATGACAATTTCAGTCACTCATGTTACTGCATTACCTTACTGTGTCCATATCACTGCTGTCGGAGTTGTGGTGAGGTCAATATTAAACAAATACTTGATTTAACGGGCATTAATGTCCCTAAGGTTGTGACGGAAGAGAAATCATAACATAAAAAATTCGAAAAATTTATGAAAGCAGCGTTTTCATAAAATGAGATAGTCCGACGCGTGCAACATAATAATACACTTCAAGCTCGGACGTGACGTCAAATCCGAGGTCCAAGTGGGAGTCGGAAGATAATTGAACGTAGTGTTAGTCTTACAAAACTAATTTTCAGGCGCTTTGAGGATTTAAAATTTTTAAAAAGTTGATGTTGTGAAAATAGAAACGAATCCTACAAAATTTGTTCTTTGGGAAAATTGTGAATGTCTTGTCAGCCAAACACGGGTAGTTTGAATTCCCAAAAAAATGCATTGCGCTCTGAGGGAGAAGTTTTCTAGCAGGGACAGAGGAAGAACGACTTATGGAGTTTTTTATTAAAGGTCTATGATCCAATCACAGAGAGAAAACCAGGCAACCAATACAAAACTGTCACAAATGCAAGGCTAGTCTAACAAAACATTAATCCTGTGTTTCATTCTAGGTCAGAGAAGAAGAAAAGTGCTGGCGTATTTTTAGAGTTGTGTACTAGTTTTTGTGTCCCTGATTTTTGTCTTGCAGGCACATCGTCGTCTGCGGCCACATCACGCTGGAAAGTGTGTCCAACTTCCTCAAAGACTTCCTACACAAGGACAGGGATGATGTCAATGTAGAAATTGTTTTTCTCCATAAGTGAGTTTAATTAAATCAGTCTTTTATGGTAATTACTGCATCCATGGGTTTTGAGAAGTTTTTCACATTCAGAAGATGCAATATTTTGTTTTAAACTGCTAAATTATTGTTAATCGCCATGGCAAAGGTCCTGATTTCTTGTTATTCTGAAAACCGTGGACCATAAACTTTTGATTGTGGATGGTGGGGGTAAATAGTTATTGGCTTTTCCTTTTTTTTCCCCATTGTCAGGAACTTTTTAGGTCAAATAAAACCGGTTCGATGTTTGTTTTTCTGCCACTACAGATATCAAAACTTTGCCTTACTGGGATTATCATTCTTTAGTGTTATTATCTCAAGTGTTTTTGAGTAAAATTGTTTATTATGATATTTTCTGTAGTTGTATTTCACACTCAACAGGCCTGATTTATTTGTGTTTGCCTCAGGATTGATAAAGATTAAATTGTGTTGTTTTTATTTCCAGTATTTCCCCTAATCTTGAGCTGGAAGCCTTGTTCAAACGTCACTTCACTCAAGTGGAGTTCTACCAGGGATCCGTCCTCAACCCACACGACCTGGCGCGCGTCAAGGTACCGGAATATTCTACTACTTTATTATTCTAAAAGGTCTGGTGTGTACAATTTGTATTTCGAATTTCATATACTTTACCTTGTCTGTTCCCCAGATAAAAAACATGTGTGTATCAAATATAGTTTTTACTAGGGGTGTAACGATATCCAAGTCTCACGATACGATATTGTCACAGTATGAACGTCACGGTACGATATTTATTGCGATATCGGGAGATAGGTCACGATATCGTTGGGAGGCTCATGAGATTACAATATTATACATAATAACTAGGGATGTAACAATAACCGAAATATCGTGATATCGTATCGTCAAAGTTCTCACAATAACATCGTGGACCATCACAATATATCGAATTACAAGTTTCTTCCTTTAATGAAGAGTTATGGTGCAGCAATAGCTAAAAAAAGAAAAAAAGCACAGAGGAACTACATCAGGAGTGTCAAACTCATTTTGGTCCAGGGGCCATATCCAACCGACTTTGATCCCAAAGGGGCCGGATCAGAAAACTCATGTCATATAAACCCCAAAAATAGCAATAAGTTCAAATATTTGTGCAGAAAAATGCAAATCTATTACAGAAATCTTTTTTAATTGATGAACTCTTTCTTATTATATGTTTATAATATTATGAACAAACTGAAACTTTAAGAAAAATTCAATTTCAACACAAAGTTTTAACATGAACTTGTATGTAAACAGGAATAAGTCCATTTTTGTTGTAAAATCCTGCACTCGGCTCCACTTTTCTCATGTTGGACATTTTGTTGATGAGGGTGTCACGGTCAACAGTCAAAACGATCGTCCTTTAAGAGCGTTTGGAAAGAGACAAGTCTTCATTTGTGCTGCTCTGGTGGGAGGGGCCACGTACAGAGACGCTGGAGACGCTGCTGTGATAAACACCACAGAAAATTATTAATAGAAAATATAATTAAAATATTTTAGTAGAAAATCACCCAAGGGCCACATTAAAAGTCTTGGAGGGCCGGATCTGGCCCCCGGGCCTTATGTTTGACACCTGTGAACTACATAGACCATGATCCTTTGCTCCATTTCAGTGCAGACTGCAAGAAGAAATAACAGTTCTAAGCACTTTTAAGTCCTAGTTCTTTGGATTAAGTCTTGTCAAGGCATTTTAAGAGGAAAAAGTTGAATATCAGCCTCCACAAAATATCGCAATATCGTACTGTGAGATGTATATTGTGAAAATATCGAGAGATTGGATATTGTTACATCCCTAATCTTGAGCCTTCCCATCACATCTTGAGCTTTCCCTTGATATCGCAATAAATATCGTACCGTGAGGTTCATACTGTGACGATATCGTATCGTGACACTTGGATATCGTTACACCCCTAAATGCTTTAACCAGTCATTTGGTAAAACATTTATTGTCATATTCTAGGGATGTAACAATATCCAAATTTCATGGTACAATATTATCACGATATGCATCTCACGGTACGATATTTATTGCGATATTTTGAAGAGGCTAATAATTAAAAATGGGACACTTTTTTGCTTTTAAAATACCTTGACAATATTTTGGTGTGAATTATTTCTGTCATAATCCCAAGAATTCAAGTAAAAACATATAATTTCATGTTGTCTGCACTGAAATGAATCATGGGAAATGTAGTTTACTATGTTCATAAGCTGTTGCTACTGTAAAACCATGAATTTAAACAAAGGAACTTGTAATTCGATATATATTTTGAGACTTTGGACAATACGATATCACAATATTTCGGTTATTGTTACATCCCTAGTTTTTACTAATAACAATTGTAATTCTGATTTGTTTTAATTACAAAAAGTTGGACATGATGGTCAAGTTGTTTCTGTTATAATTTGATCATTTGTTTTGATTCTAAAGACGATTATCCAATCAGAAACCAGAATGAGCGTCACGTGACTCTCTTGTTTTCGTTGCCAGTTTCAAAGCTGGAATCCGGTTGGTTTAAACCTAAAATGCCTCTCTCTGATCTGAATGGTCACTGCCTAAACCCCACCTCCTGTTAAATCTGTAAAAATATTACTTATAAAATCATACGTGTTTGTTTTGCGTTTCCAGATTGAATCGGCCGATGCCTGTTTGATTTTGGCGAATAAATACTGCGCTGACCCTGACGCAGAGGACGCCTCCAACATCATGAGGTGAACACTCGATTTTAACTATTTTAACAAATCGTGAAGTTGAAACTGAAACTATTACTATAACATTCATATTCATGTTCAAATGTGTCAATAAAACGTGTTCATGTCTCTTTTACGTAGAGTGATCTCCATAAAGAACTACCACCCCAAGATCAGAATCATCACCCAGATGCTCCAGTACCACAACAAGGTCAGGACTGAAAATAAGATGCACTTAGATGTTATTTAATTAATTCAATCATATTTAAACTGTAATTATCACTGCACAATATTCTTATAGTCTCTAATATTTGGACGCTTCAAAATATTTCCAATATTTCCCCATATTTCCAACTAAAAAATGCAATCTAAAGCTACGTTCAGACTGCAGGGTTTTAAAGCTCAATTTGGATTTTTTTTGTGCGAGGTCCTTCACATTTCCAATTAAATGCGACTTGTATGTGATCTCCAGTGTGAACTTTAAGTGTCCTGAATGCAGCAAGTGTGCTCAGTGTTTCCGGAAATCGCCTAAACACTGGACTTATTTCCCAAAATACAGTCCAGTTCTGGTAAAATGGACAGGTTACACGTCCACGGCCGCTTCATTTGTTTGAGTCTTTATCCTCTTTGTATTTGTCTCGCGGGCTCTTTATTTTTCGGTGACATTTGAGCCAGGACCGCCTGTAGTCACGATCAGACATTTCTTTGGCAATAATAAAAAAAAAAAAGCCCGGATCCTTGAATACTGGAATCCCCCAAATATTAATAAACTCACTAACCTCACTTTCCTTCCATTGGCGAGACTCTGAGCCTGACGTGTAGGTGGGATGAATGTGACCTGGCCGTTCAGACGGAAGTCACATGTCAAAAGATCGGATATGTATCGGTTTCAGGAGCACATATCCAAGTGGTCTGGGTCACATTTGAAAAAAATCAGATCTGTGTTGTTCAGTCATTAAAAGATCAGATACAGGAGCGTAGGAGCGAAAAAATCAGATTTGGGTCACTTCAGCCTGCAGTCTGAACGTAGCTTAAATCACTATCTCTCTTGCGCCCCCTGTAGGCTCACCTGTTGAACATCCCGAGCTGGAACTGGAAGGAGGGGGACGACGCCATCTGCCTGGCTGAGCTGAAGCTGGGGTTCATCGCTCAGAGCTGTTTGGCTCAGGGTCTGTCCACCATGTTGGCCAACCTCTTCTCCATGAGGTCCTTCATCAAGGTGCAGGACTTTTACACACGAGTATTTATGAGCAAACAAGTCCAAACCTTCACAGGGTTGTTTTAATAAGAGATCATCAGAACATAGCTGAAGGTGCATTGTGGAACTTTGGAGGGATCATCAAATACTTTTCTCCATGGAGATGTTGTTGCTTGGTCTGGAATGTTCCGCAGTATGGTATTAAACCTTTCTATCTTCATGGAGACCAAACCAGACCAAGTTACAGGTCAGATCTGTGGAGAGGCGACTCCGCTGACAGTCAGAATGTTTGTTTTTCTAGGTATTTTTGAGCTATAAAACCACCTGTAACTGAATAAATGTAAGGTAGAGCTGTTTAATGTCACACTGTGGAACATTCAAGGCAAAACAAGCAAGTGACGGACCCCAAACCAAAAAGTTACACAAAGCATCTTTAAATGTTTTTCTTCAGCTTCTTAGGTTCTTTTTAAAGACAATGCAGTAAAGTGTATTTACCTTGTTGACATGTTTCGGCTGCTGCATCTTCAGAACTGTCCCCGGTGTTGGTGGTGACGTGTCGTATATCAGCTGTTGTTACTTCCTGTGTAGGCGTGGTCAGACCTGATGGACCTGGCAGGTCGCTCAGACTGACCACGCCTCCCGTCGCCCGGTGTCTCTGGAGGAGGGTGTCCCAGGTGTGTGAAAGGAGGAACGCGCCGTCATCACGGTTAATGCTGTCCGTGCCTCGTTTCCTGATTTCAATGGCCTCCTTGATCCTCCTTTCACACACCTGGGACACCCTCCTCCAGAGACACCGGGCGACGGGAGGCGTGGTCAGTCTGAGCGACCTGCAGGTCCATCAGGTCTGACCACGCCTACAGGAAGTAACAACAGCTGATATACGACACGTCACCACCAACACCGGTGACAGTTCTGAAGATGACTTGCAGCAGCAGCCGAAACATGTCAACAAGGTAAACACACTTTACTGCATTGTCTTTAAAAAGAACCTAAGAAGTTAAAGTATATAAGAAGACATAATGAACATCATTGGCTGTTTTTCTTCAGATCGAGGAGGACACGTGGCAGAAGTATTACCTGGAGGGCGTGGCCAATGAGATGTACACGGAGTATCTGTCCAGTGCCTTTGTGGGACTCTCCTTCCCCGTCATCTGCGAGTGAGGATATAATACTTTGTTGTTTTTTTTTGTTTTTGTACATTACATTTTTTTCATTGCAAGTTTTAAAGAGCTTATATACAGTAGTAGCTGATAGAATACTATCCCACCCAAACTACATTTTATTTTTATTTATGTTCTTATTGTTGTCGCCAGATGTTAATTACATATTTTTCTTCCTCAGACTGTGTTATGTGAAGCTGAAGTTGCTGCTCATCGCCATCGAGTACAAATCTGACCAGAGAGAGAGCAGGTACCTCCACCTCTGATCAGTCTATCTTTATTTAAATTAGGGGTGTCAAATTATCGCGTTAATTGCGATTAATTAATTACGGTCATATTTAGCGCGTTATATTTTTTAATCTCGTTAATCTCATTTTTAATCTCTAACTTTACTGTTTCTGTACGCGAGTTGCCTTATTATAAAATCTGTTTTTATGTGTTGTTGGGACAATAACACATCGCTCCCGCAAACAATTGTGATTTTCATTCTCGTTCTCGCCGCATCTGCGATAAACCTGCACACGTCTGAAAACATCACGACACAAACACAGAACAGACTCACCTTCACCTTCAACACTCTGTCACAGAAAGAACACTCATATTCCACTGAGTCGTGTCCTTCAGTCCCACAGAAGCTGAACCGCATCAGCGACACAAGAGCATTTTTAATTTTTTTTTTCTCGCTTAGTTTATGCAAATTAGCCATGCGGTTTTTAAGTTTCGTTTCTGTGAGACTTGCGCAAATCAGCATTAAACACATTATAATTTCAAACGAGCTGATGTGGCTCTAGAGTGTTCATGGTTCATATGTAATAATAATAATGTAATAATGAATTTAAATGAAAATACCTCAAGTTGAAGGCTTTTCTCAGCATTTTTTTTAGGTGAGATTAAAAAGAGATTAATTAGATTAATTAATTACAGATCATAATTAATTAATCTCTCAATTTTTTTAATCGCCTGACAGCACTAATTTAAATACAACATACAATAGGAAAAGAACACATTTAACATAAGCATTGACTCAGTGGTAAACCATTCACCCTCTAACCCAACGTTTTGAGTTAAATTCTTACTGTATTTTTCGGACTAAGTCACTCCGGATTATGTCACACCAACTAAAAAATACTTAATGAAGAAAAAAAAAAAAGTTGCACCGAACAATAAGTTGCACTTTTTGGGGGCAATTTATTTTGTAAAATCAGAGACAGAGATCAGAGAAAACAACAGAACAGAGAACAACAGACTGTTAACGTCACATATGAACAGTTCTTCAGATAAATATAGAATAAACACAGTGTTGGGAAGGTGACTTTTAAAATGTAATCCCCTACAGATTACAGATTACATACACCAAAATGTAGTTTGTAACGTAATCCATTAAATTACTTAAAGTGAGTAACGTAATCTGAATACTTTGGATTACTTGATATTGTCATGCTTTTTAGTTTAGTTTTGGTTTTAGTTCTGGTTTAGTCCTAGTTTAGTTCTGGTTTAGTCCTAGTTTAGTCCTAGTTTAGTTCTGGTTTAGTCCTAGTTTAGTCCTACTTTAGTTCTGGTTTAGTCCTAGTTTAGTTCTGGTTTTAGTTCTGGTTAGTCCTAGTTTAGTCCTAGTTTAGTTCTGGTTTAGTCCTAGTTTAGTCCTAGTTTAGTTCTGGTTTAGTCCTAGTTTAGTTTTGGTTTTAGTTCTGGTTTAGTCCTAGTTTTAGTCCTAGTTTAGTTCTGGTTTTAGTCCTAGTTTAGTCCTAGTTTAGTTCTGGTTTAGTCCTAGTTTAGTCTGGTTTTAGTCCTGGTTTTAGTCCTAGTGTTTAGTCCTGGTTTTAGTCCTGGTTTTTAGTCCTAGTTTAGTTTTGGTTTTAGTTCTGGTTTAGTCTAGTTTTAGTCCTAGTTTAGTTCTGGTTTTAGTCCTAGTTTAGTTCTGGTTTTAGTCCTGGTTTAGTCCTAGTTTAGTTCTGGTTTTAGTCCTAGTTTAGTTCTGGTTTAGTCCTAGTTTAGTCCTAGTTTAGTTCTGGTTTAGTCCTAGTTTAGTCCTAGTTTAGTTCTGGTTTAGTCCTAGTTTAGTCCTAGTTTTAGTCCTTTTAGTTCTGGTTTAGTCCTAGTTTAGTCCTAGTTTAGTTCTGGTTTTAGTCCTGGTTTAGTTCTGGTTTTAGTCCTAGTTTAGTTCTGGTTTTAGTCCTGGTTCAACCCAAAATGTGAAAACTGGAAATTACCCCCCCCCCATTTATTTCCACAAAGTAACTGTAATCCAATTACCACTCATTGAAACAGTAACTGTAACTGAATACAGTTACTCATCATTTGTACTCTGATTACGTAACTTTGGTACATGTAATCTGTTACTCCCCAACACTGCATAAACAACAGAACAGAACAAGTTTAACAAACTCTCCATCTCACTCCAAATCACTAAATCCATTCAATTCTTCATCCTCGGTGTCACTTCTGAGCAACTCCACGACCTCCGGAGGTAAAACAGAGCGACGCTTCCTCTTCTGTGTCGCTGTCGTCAGACTCAGCATCAGCTCCAGTTAGAATTATTCTGGTCTTTCTGAATCCCGACAGGATGGTTTCGCTTTTCACTGAATCACTTAAATGTTAAATTGTTCAGTGGTACAGAAGTAATGTTGCGATCGACTGACATGATACAGACACGACAGAGGCTCTTTCTGCAGGAGACATGCGCAGTAGAGCCAAGTGACAGTGGTACAGGAGGAACAGGAGCAGCAGATACTCACACACAAGACTAAAGCGCCCTCTGTCAGTGTGAAAATGTTTATATATAAGTCACACCGAAGCATAAGTCGCAGGACCACTCAAACCATGAAAAAAAAGTGCAACTTAGAGTCTGAAAAATCCAGTATTTACCTTCGCCTTTGCATGAATATGAGGCTTAACGCTGGTCTTATAAGGCGGCTGTAACTATAGCAGTCAGAACAAATCCAAGGCTTTATTATTATCAAAGTGAACTCTTATTCTTACTGCCTACTGCGTAATGCTTTTATAACGCTTGTGTGCCTCCTATATATCATTTTATCTCCTGTTATTGAATATTTCTAGCACTTTGATCAACCCTGGGAACCATGTGAAGATGACGGAAGGGACTCTTGGTTTCTTCATCGCCAGTGACGCCAAAGAAGTCAAAAGGTAAAGAATTATGGATTTTTCAGTAATTGTATATAATGTGTATATAATTTAAATAGTATAAAATAGAGTAATTATTGTTAGGGGTGTCAAATTATTGCGTTAATTGCGATTAATTAATTACAGTCATATTTAGCGCATTATGTTTTTTAATCGCGTTAATCTCATTTTTAATCTCTAACTTTAGTGTTTCTGTATGTGAGTTTCTTTATTATAAAACCTGTTTTTATGTGTTGTTGGGACAACAACACACACACACACACACACAAAACACATTTATAAATTTTTTTTATTTCGGTAATTCCACTCATTGCCGGAAACCCACACAAAACGCGTGCAGTAAGAGCGATGTAAACGTCATGTTAACGTTGGCGGCGTCAGTCACACAATGGACGAGGTGGAAGAGCCAGTAGAACAGAGGCAGCAGTGCACAGGTAAAAACACATTTGTGTCTTGGAAATTATTCTCCCGACGTGAAATATAAAAGAAAATAACAAATATAAAATCGCCTGAAAACAACCTGCATAGGCTCATGATGTCTGCACTACTGTCCTATAGTGACCTGCCACATGAGGGGACACGCACACAAACACACACACAAACACACACAAACACACACACACACACACACACAAACACACAAACACACACAAACACACACAACAACACACAACACACACACACACACACACACACAAACACAAACACACACCTTCATCATCATTCATTAACCTGAGAACGCGCGGACCACGTTTCCTTCCGTAGTTACTGCGCGGACACCGACGTGCTCCCGTGAGCCGCGTGTGGATCGTGTTTTCTCGCGTACGCGGCGTAAACCGCGCTTCCTCCTGTGAGCCTCTAAACCAGAACTAACACCAAGACTAAAACCAGGACTAAAACCAGGACTAATCCAGTCCAGGACTAAACCAGGACTAAACCAGGACTAAACCAGACTAAAACCAGAACTAAACCAGGTCTAAACCAGGACTAAACCAGAACTAAACCAGAACTAAAACCAGAACTAAAACCAGAACTAAAACCAGGTCTAAACCAGGTCTAAACCAGGACTAAACCAGAACTAAAACCAGAACTAAAACCAGAACTAAAACCAGGTCTAAACCAGGACTAAACCAGGACTAAACCAGAACTAAAACCAGAACTAAAACCAGGACTAAACCAGGACTAAAACCAGTGATTTCATATATAAAAGCATTTCTCTATCAATAATATTTTTAATATGGTTAAGGAAAGACTGGACTTTTTATTGTCTTTAAGTAGACAAAAGTTATTATGTTCAGATTTCCTCGTCTTTGTTACTTTACAACAAACAGTTTCTTATTCATGGAGACTTGGGCTCAACAGCCAAATTGGAGACATTTGTTAAACAATAAATGACTTTATAAAGTCACTTTTTTAAATCTATATCAGTCTTTTGATCTGCCACAATAATGTAATAATGAATTTAAATGAAAATACCTCAAATTGAAGCTTTTTCTTTCAATTTTTAGGTGAGATTAAAATGAGATTAATTAGATTAATTAATTACAGATCATAATTAATTAATCTCTAAATTTTTTTAATCGCATGACAGCACTAATTATTGTGTATTTTCTCGTCAGGGCCTTGTTCTACTGTAAAGCCTGTCACGACGACATCACTGACCCCAAACGCATCAAGAAATGTGGATGCAAGAAAAGTAAGTTTACATTTATTTCGCGTAGTTATTCTCACTTTCCTATGTATTTATTTAAAGCTGCACTGTGTAACTTTTCTTGTGAGGGTCCACCACCTGCTTGCTGTGTCTGGAATGTTCCACAGTTTGGCATTAAAGTGATCAAACTTGCATTTATTTAATTTATTTAACAGATGTTTTTATTACGCCTATTAAAATTACTTTGAAAAACATTTGTACTGTAAACAAGCGGGCTCGCCTTTCCATAGACCTGACCTATAGCTTGACCTGGATGCAAGATTTATAGAGAATTATAATGCCAGTTCTGCGGAACATTACAGGTAAAGCAATAACATCTCCATGGTAACGAGCCGATGGTGAACTTTAACGAGAAAAGTTACACATCGTGCACCTTTAAATTGTATTTTTATTTTTAAATGTTCAGATATTTTAGCATTTTTATTTAATGTAATAGATTATTTTAATGTTATTGTGCTTTATTTTGGTTTCTCACGCCCAAAAAATGTTAGAAAAGATGATTATTTATTAAACTCCTCAAATTAATCCCATTTTTTATACAGATACTTGTTAGTAAAAAAAACGTTTTTTACCTCTAACCTGTGTCTTTCCTCCCTGCTGCTTTTGGACACTCCCTTTATTTAAATATTAGTGGTTTATTGTGAGTAACGTGAGAATTTCCTGAACGCAGCCTGACCCTGAAGTAGCCTGTAGTGAATGCGGGACAGTGAATGTTGCATGTGTAAAGCCTGGGGTCCCTTTGTTCATTTGCACGCTGAAAAACGACAAACTTGGATGTTAATGGAAAAAAAAACGAGAAATGAACCCGCATGCAAACGTTTGAATGAACTGGGATGAGGAGATGTTGATGTTGTGGGAAATAAAATTAATGAATAGGCCATTTGTTCATGCATTAGGCTGCCATACCCGACTTCACCACCAGATGTCAGTGCAGATCACAGAAAAACAGCAAAAAGAAAAGACCAAGGAGATTAGATTATGGCTATAACTCTGTGTCCAATGTATTTTCTCTATTTATAAATGATATTATTATTATATTTTAGTAAAGGTAGAAATGTTTAGTGCTTATAATGTATCACAATAAGTAAGTAAGTTATCCATGGGTCTAATTTACTATAACAAGGTACAAGAAATTATTTGGACAAGCTTTTTTCCACATATTTTCAAGTCAAAAAATATACTTTTAATAGTATTTATGTATTGGGAGTAAATTAAATGATCCCATACTAGATTTAAAGGGTAAATATTATGCCATTTTCTGATTTATGTTATAATAATGTTTCCTCATCACAAACAGACCTGGAGTTGTGTTTTGTTTCATTCACGTTTAACACACAAACCCTGCAGATTTAGGCAGAGGGAAACAGTTTGTTCCACCTTGTGATGTCGTCTGGTAACACAGGGAGTGCTCTTTTTATTTTATTTATTGCCCATATATAACATAACAATAAAAAAAACCAAACACACACACTAGATAAAAAAGTAGGTGCTGGAAGAGGCAACAAACCCCCAAAAGGCTCATATTAAAGCCACCACATTATGAATACATTAAAAATTTTACATTATCGCTGTGAAAAAAAAAAAACCAAAAAAAAAACCTTTTTGCCCTGATGAAGGTCAAAGGGCCGAAACGCATTGGCATGATTTGAACTTTATTTGCCATGTGGTATTAAAGGCTTTTATAATTATTTTGTACGTTTTGAGTGCCTCAGTTTTTTCAACTTTGTATTTGAGTCTGTTCCCGACACTGAAGAGCAGAGAAAGGACAATTCTGCACAATTTCTGTATATCCAAGTAGCACCTCTGCCATCCAAAGTTTGGCAAAAAAAAAACAAAAAAAAAACATTTACACACCTTGGATTAGATTAATTTGATTCAAACATGGATTAAAACAAAATGAAACAACCACAATTGAATCATTATCAAACATGATCATGAAATATCAAACATTTCCTCAAACTCTATTTAAACATTTCTGATGTCGTCACTACCCAGATGTGAAAACTTGCTCTAGAATTTACAAACTGAGCTCTTGATGCGACACATTTCGGAACAAATGAAACTTACGATTTCGACGAGTTTTGTATCTATGAATCTCTGCAGTGGTTTGAAAGTAAAAATGTGAAATGTTTTGGAATCGTAGTTGAATTATGAATAATTTTATACATAAAAATACAAATTTGATAAACATGAATCTCATAAATATTAAGAATGTGTGTTTTTAAACTCCATACACCTTCACTAGAATCGGTTGGATAATTTCAGCCCTGGAATTGACGATCTCCACTAAACTAAAGATAAACTGTAGCTGTTAATGTGAAAACTACCACTTCATGACATCACAAAGTGGAACAGAGCATTATGAGCTTTGGAGATGTAGACAGACTAATAATAATGTGTAGCTCAAACATGTGTGAATGAAACAAAACACAACTCCAGGTCTGTTTTTGATGATGAAAAAACTTTATAACATGACTTAAAGCTCACAAGCAGTGTTGGGAAGGTGACTTTTAAAATGTATTCCCCTACAGATTACAGATTACATATCCCAAAATGTAGTTTATAATGTAATCGATTAAATTATTTAAAGTGAGTAACGTAATCTGAATACTTTGGATTACTTGATTTGCTGTAGAGAAGCAAAGACCAGGAAATCCTAACATAAGATGTTTTATCTGCTAAAAGAAAATGAAAAGCCCAGACTTTACTCAATCAAATTAAAAATATTATTGATAGAAGACGAGGAGACACGTTCACGCAGCATGATTTAGTCCTGTTAAATCCTGTTTTAGACCTGGTTTAGATCTCGTTTAGACCTAGTTTAGACCTGCATTTAGTCCTGTTTTAGTCCTGGTTTTAGTCCTGGTTTTAGACCTGGTTTTAGACCTGGTTTAGATCTCGTTTAGATCTAGTTTAGACCTGCATTTAGTCCTGTTTAGTCCTGGTTTTAGTCCTGGTTTAGTCCTGGTTTTAGTCCTGGTTTTAGTCCTAGTCTGGTTTAGTCCTGGTTTTAGACCTGGTTTTAGACCTGTTTTAGACCTGGTTTAGATCTCGTTTAGATCTAGTTTAGACCTGCATTTAGTCCTGTTTTAGTCCTGGTTTAGTCCTGTTTTAGTCCTGTTCTAGTCCTGGTTTAGTCCTGGTTTTAGACCTGGTTTTAGTCCTGGTTTTAGACCTGGTTTAGACCTGGTTTAGATCTCGTTTAGATCTAGTTTAGACCTGCATTTAGTCCTGTTTTAGTCCTGGTTTAGTCCTGTTTTAGTCCTGTTTTAGTCCTGGTTTTAGTCCTGTTCTAGTCCTGGTTTAGTCCTGGTTTTAGACCTGGTTTTAGTCCTGGTTTTAGACCTGGTTTAGACCTGGTTGAGATCTAGTTTAGACCTGGTTTAGTTTCCGGGAATGAGTGGAAAAATTTGAAAACAGGAAAATACCACCATGTAATCCATTTATTTCAACAAAGTAACTGTAATCCAATTACCACTCACTGAAACTGTAACTGTAACCGAACACAGTTACTCATAATTTGTACTCTGATTACGTAACTCCGGTACATGTAATCTGTTACTCCCCAACACTGCTCACAAGAGTCAATTTTGTGTAATATTTGTCCTTTAAATGTCCAATAAAATCCACTTTGAACAGTGTTTATGTGATGGGAGTAAATTAAACGACCCTTAGCAGATGTAAACAGACGTCTTCCAGAATGTTTAACCTGTTGTTTCTCGTCTCTAACACACCTGTAGCTAAGATGGCCGCCTCCCCGACCGAGCGCCTGGCCTGTTGTTTTGGCGCAGGGTGCATGTCTCTTAGTGACCGTAGTAGCTCGGACCTCCCGCTCTCCGCTGTGTCTGTTAGCTCGGCCCGTAAGTGGTCACATGACCCGCCACACCTCTGACCTCCGCCCTCTGCCTTCCGTGTCCTGTCTCTGTAGCCGTCAGCGGTGTGGTGCTGTGGTCTGTCGCTGTTGATATAAATGTGGTGGCTTAAATATAAATGTGGACTCCTGGATGTGGTTCTGGGCGGTTCTGTCTGATGCATGCTCTTGGTATTTGAATGTTGGGCTTGAATAAATCTGCAACTAACCCACAAATATCTCTATACTTTCACTTATGAACAAGCTTCTCTTTATAAGTCAGTTATATTTCTAATGCCTGCTTTATTACGCTTTTCTTATTGGCCATTTTAAGTTCACATAGAGAAAACAAACTAAAATTATTAGGTCTAAAGTAAGGGTATCCAAACTTTTTTTTTTTATTTTTTTAATCAAAGCTGAGACCCACAGCCCCATTTAGTTTGACCGTCTTTCATACTTGGAACCAAAATATAAAGCCTGTCTCACAGAAACAGAAAACAGAAAAAAACGTACCGTATTTTTCGGACTATAAGGCGCAATATCAATAATGTTGAATTTTCTCATCTATTTTCATACGTAAGTCGCGCCGAATTATAAGGAGTATTAAGCGAAACAAACGGACGACACTTGAGACTGATCCTCAGCCCAGACGTCCACGATCCATTGGCAAGATCGTGGCGTAATTCGCCCGGCGTTGCCTCCCTGACTTGGTGAATGTGAATGTTCGTTTTTTTATTTCCTATGAGGACGACTCAAATATACATTGAGTAATAATGTGTTTAATGCAGCTTTATGCGCACTTGTTTATGTTTTATATAAACGAAACTTAAAACCACATGACTCATTTGTATAAACTGTAAGTGCTAAAAAAAAAAAAAACAGCTCGCTCCTTGTGCACTGCCAACTTCTTTCGGACTAAAGGACATGACTCCGCGAGGCTTCTGACTACAGCAGCCGTAATGCTCTGACAATCCATCAAGCGGTGCGGCTTCGTAGTTTACTAAAGTCGTACTAAAACATTTTGACAGATTTTTAAGTGCCTTGTACCACATAAAATCGGTTTCAGGTCAGTAAACACAACCAGAATTAATACATAAGGCGCACTGTCGATTTTTGAGAAAATTAAAGGATGTTAAGTGCGCCTTATAGTCCGAAAAATACGGTAGTTCATTGCTTACTGTAATCTGGGCTAAAAAAACTTGGTCTAAAGGCCACTTTTGGTCCCTGGGCTATAGTTCGCGTTTATCCGCTCTAAACCTTTTTCATGTAATAAATGTATTTGTTTTTTTTTTTTTTGTTTGTTTGTTTTTTAATTTGTTAATATTTTTGTTTAAGGCCCAGCTATTTAGTCTTTTATTTTTGAGCAAATTTTACTCCAAATAATTCCAAAACTGCCCAAATTCATCCTCTGTGGCCAAGCGGCATAAAAAATGTTATGTGAGAGCTGATACTGATGAAAAATGTGTATGTTAGTCTTTAGTTATTGCATTTTTAAATCTTTTGCATCACAATCGTTTTATTCTAATGCCAATAGCAAAAGCAGCCCCAGCTCCAAAGCCCCACATACTTCTACAGTAAAATCACCAGTTTGGTTTTGACTGAAAGTGCTTAGAGATCTGAATCTAAATACAGTTTTTATTCACGCTGAGAGCAGAATTTTTCCATGGAGTTGACATATTCCACGAGGCAGTAACAATATGTAAACCTTGATACAATCTGCTTCAGAGCTTTGTTTTCTGTCACATGTTTTTAGCCTAATATTTGGTTCAACTCCCCCGGCGTCCCCACCCCTCCTCTTCACGTCTGTAAGAGTTTTTATTCCCTCCCCTTATCCGCTCTGACACGAAAATTATGTTTGCGTTTCGTTTTCGTGGAGATACCGGTTGGTGACAGTTGTGATCCACCAGGCAGCGCTCGTCCCCCTCCGCCCGGGCACAGAGCTCCGTTTGTGGGGCGTGTGCAGAGCGCTGACCCCCTGATCCGCTGGAGCTGTGCAATCCCGGGCGACAGATGCCAGGACCAGTTTCAGAACAGGATTTCGGTTGTCAGAGAAGAGCCTCGGGGTTTACGCGCGACCTTTATCTTACAATGCGCCACAATGAGATGAAATGAAGTAATATGAAAATGTGAAATGTCCTTAGAATGGTTTTGTTTACGAAGGTTCTGAGGAATTTTTAAAGGACCCGTAATACACTTGTTTCTAATTTATGTTATAATGTTGTTTCCTCGTCACAAACAGACCTGCAGTTGTGTTTTGTTTCATTCGCACATGTTTAACACACAAACCTGCATGTTTAGGCATTTATAGTTATTCTCTCAAACAGAAAATACTCTGTTCCACCTTGTGATGTCATGTGGTAATAGGGGTGTAACAAAACACAAAAATCACAGTTTGGTACGTACTTCAGTTTTGAGGTCACAGTTCGGTTCATTTTCATTACAGTTTGGAAACAAACGGCAAAACCAATTGTTTGTTGTTTATTTGTGTTTTTATTAAACCAACAATTTGTTTTAACATTATACAAATGGGAAATTAAAATAAATGCAAAGTGCTGCTTGGTAATACTAATAAGTTAAATAAAAAATTCTCAAATAAGCAACAAATGTTTGAAATATTATAAAAAATAAAATCCTTGTAAACAGTAAACAGAAGTTTTCTAAAGTAAAGTAAAGTAACAAGTAAAGCAGCACTAACAATTATAAAAAAAAACAACAACTTGTCCACATTGTCTGCAGTAAGAGCAGATCTGCTGCAGTTACAATTCCCCAGCGACTGAAAATACACTTTCGCTAGGGTCAGAGGTCGCAGGTATGGGTGGCAGGTACGGGGGGAGGGGGGCGGAAATTTTGTGCTGGCGAAAGGCAGAAGTGAAGACCGTGGTGCGATGTCCGTAATTTTGTGAGGATTCATGTGGTTCAGAGGGATGTAGTCAAGGCGAGGGACAATTGTTGTGAAAGTGGCCGCCCTAACTATAAAGCGCTGTGGGAAACACTGCCACCCCAATCACGGACGAGTTCCGTCCTGAATATTAAAGAGCCGAGTCTCCGCGTAGGTGCACATGTATTGGTGGAATGTAAACACACACAAATTGCGCGAATTTACTCGTGCACAGACCTGCACCGAACCAAATATCCAGTACTGACACAGTTTGGCACAAATACATGCACCGTTACACCCCTATGTGCTAATACAGGAAGTACTTCACACACCTTCACATTTGGATAAGTTCACCCCTGGAATTGCTGATCTCTACTGAACTAAATGTAAAAAATTTAGCTGTAAACTTGAAAACTACCACTTCATGACATCATAAGGTGGAAAAGAGCATTTTGAGCTTTGGAGATGTGGACAGATTAACACTAAAGAGTTACTCAAACATGTGTGAATGAAACAAAACACACAACATCAGTTTTGTGTAATATGGGACCTTTAAATACATTTCAAGTAAATTTCAACAAATCTAAACAAACTGAAGACTAGACTCACTGTTTTGTGGACAGTTTTGCTTCTATAAACCAATGTAACAGCTATTCTTATTATAATTAATGGCTTAAACCAAAGATATTATTATAGTGTGACCCAAAAAATCTTACTAAATACAACATTTCTCCTTTTATGTGAAATTAATTTGTAAGTACTTTGTAAAACTGCAAAAACTAAAATATTAAAATACGACATTTCATTACAAAATTAAAAATACTCAAAATTACAATTCCACTTTTCAAACTAACAGCATCTCCAGTCTGTCGCTGACTTTTGCTTCTCTCACTTCAGTCCATGTCATGCTAAAAGTGCCTTAAATACACTGTCATTCTAGCATTAAACATTAATAATAATAATAATAATTCTAGTACTGCATTGATTCATTGTATTCTAACCTGTCATTTGTTTCTCATTCTCCCCTCAGCTAAAAATAGCTATAACGGATATATCAAATCAAGTGAGTCTGGGTTTCATTCATTCATTTAACTCATCTTCACTGTTTGTCTGTGTCCTCGTCAGTGTCTGTGAGTGAGTGATTTGTGTGTGTGTGAACAGCAGATGGCGCCATTGTGTAGGTATTTTTTTTTATTAAAAATGAGAAGCACAGTCTGGTTTCACTGACACTGAAAAGAAGTTTTGGTTTAATTGTTTTGTTTTCTTATTGTAATCTGTCTCAGTTGGTAGAATTGAAAATATTTTGGTAATATTTGAAAATGTTGATTGTAATTTTTGCAATTTTTTTATTTCTTCATTTACCACCCACTTCACTTTTAGCATCACTACTTTCTGTTCAATTTTATCTCTATGTTGTTTTTGCTGAGTTGTGCTAAAATGAATTAATATTTAAAATAACACAGTGAACATGAGCTGTGGGTGTCACTGACAACATGTTAAAAATTACACAAATAAAAGGATTACGTCAGTGGAGGACACTACTGTGTTTAGAAAGAGAGATGTTTGTGTCTCAGGGCTAACACTAATGGTAATTTTGAGGCATAATAACTTTTACAACAATGAGCTGAAATATTGTACATTGCAAAACTTGAATCAATTTAAATTTGTATACTTTATTGTGACTGTTTTTGGGTACAGTTGCTATTTTTTCTTTTTTGGTTGTTTTCAGAATGCAATTTAAATCCTAAAATCAGAGAGATACATTATAATACTTGATGACACAATTTGGGCTTCGAACTGCCCAGTAACAGAAAAAAGAAAAGAAAAAAGATGGTATGTACCTGTGGGATTTTGACTTCTCTAATTTGTGTTAAAGGTTGTATGGAGGATTTTTTTTTTAGTTTCAAATTGTCAATGAAAGTTTAAAATACCATTACCGAGATGCAGCAGCTTCATAATTATGATGACCAAAAAAAAAAAGAATGAAAATCCATCAACTGTGGACGTGTTGAGGCCAGATAAACATCAGCCAACTGAAAACGAGGCTCCCTCTTTTTCTATTGGCTGTTAGGTCGTCAATCAAACTCCCTACGTTTCTAGCGTAACTGACTCGTTGTCGCGCAGGGATTTCGTGGTGTATGGGGCGGTTCTTAGAGGCTTTTTCAAACTGTAGCTTCGTCGCAATTCGCACAGAGTTTGTCGCGACGGTGGACGAGAATCCACGACCGGTTCGCCGCCAAGGAAAGTCAGTTTTTGAGGTTGCTGAAAGAAGAAGAGAAGGAGAAAAGGAGCGAAGACAAACTGAGGTGATTCTTGGAGATTCCTTCCAGCGATGGCGCGACTGAAGCAGACAAAGGGTCTAAAAACTGAAGACGCGTCGGTCGCTAAATTATTTCTAGACAGGAAACTTCAACGGTAATTCTGAACTGGCTGTAAACAAACGTGATTTCTAGAGTAAAGAGACGGGACGAGATGTTTCTACTGAGGAGCTGTGGAGGAGGAAGGTGGTGTCACACATGTACAACATTTGAAAAATAATTTCTCTTCCCTTAAAATATCCTCTATACAACCTTTAAATAAAACCAACAAACATGAAGCTGTTTTATTCCTATGCCAAGTTTTACATTATAATATAATATAACTATAATATATTACATCTCAAAGTACTCTTAGGGTGCACTCACACTTGGACTTTAGAACCGTGCCCAAGCACTGATAGCTCCTAAAGTGCGGTACGTTTGTCCAGTGTGAGTGCAATCGAACTGTGCTCAGGCTCGGCACAGATGGGACTTTGGCCCACTTGGAGGAGGTGGGCCAAAGCACGGTACGGTTGCTCATGTACACGCACACGCCCGACTTTACTGTACGAGCCGTGGGTGTGCGCTGATGTTACTCATACGGGGAAAACAGTGAATAAAATCTGCTCCATAACACACGGCAAACCCACACTCACCTTCAACAAAGACAGACAGAAGTTTAGCTGTGTTTCTCTGGCTGTCGTCACTGCTCCGTGATGTTTTTATCTCCATAAAGTGACGCACATCAGCCTCACTATTTAATACATATTTTTTCTGCTAAAAGCGTTAGCACATGTAAACAAACAGCGACGTATGATGACATCAACGAGCCGTGGCCCAGTTCGGATGTGCAAGTGTGAGTGTGGGCCACAGAACCCTTCGCAATCGTGCTTGAGCTCGGCACTGTTCTAAAGTCCTAGTGTGAATTTGCCCTTAAAGGTGCACCATGTCATTTTCTTGCTTGTTTCTATGGCGATATCATTGCGCTGCTTGGAATGTCCCATAGCCTTTGAATGTCCCCCCACACATTAAATAGCTCTATTAAATTACATGTGGTTTTATAGCTCAAAAATACTCTGAAAAACAGGCAATTTGACTGTTAACTGGGTCGCCTCTTCAGAGATCTGACCTGTAACTTGTTCTGGTTTGGTCTCCATGAAGATAGAAAGGTTTAATACCGTACTGTGAAACAATCCAGACAAAGCAATAACCAGAAAAATTACATAGTGCAAGTACAGCCCATGTTTATATTCTTCCCATCACATTCAATGGGATGTTGAGTTTGAAAACAGTAAAAAAATTGGACACGGGACCCTTCAATTCAACAAACATTTGAACTGCTCCCAATATTTTCATAACGTGACTTCAACTTGAACTTATAAACCAAACAGAAATGAATTAACAACGACGATCTTTGTTAATACTGGCTCCCAAAATGGCCGCAGTCTTCGTGCCGCTCGTGGTGGCTAATTTGCGCTGTCACTTCCTTGTTCCTCTGGCATAACAATAGTCTCCGAACACCTGAAAGTGTACTAAGTAATTCATTTCTATTATAAATACCGAGGCGAATGTCAGATCTGTCTTTTCAGTGGGCCGCTGCAGCAAACGGCTAAGTGGTGTTTAATAAAAATGAGGCTGGTTAATTATTCAAATATTAACGTTTCTGTGCCACATAGAATTAGCCCCGAGAATGTGCAGGTAATGCTAAAATGTTTTATTAAAGCTGTAATGCGGGGCTTTCTGTGTCATTGTGGATTAGAGAGGGTCAGACAATGGAAGTATTCAATTTAAAGGTACAGGTTTAAGCAGTGAAGTGGGTTCAGTTTGGTGTTATTATAATGGGTCAGTGGATAGCAAATGTTAGCATTATCTTCTACCCTCCACTGACAATAGATTAGGTTTGAAAAAAAAACCAAAACATTAGCTTTGGAATGTTTGAGCTTCCATACCGAAAATACTATTTGATATTTGGACATAGCAAACCCAAGCCCCCGCTCATTCAAGTCAATGGGCCGAGCTCAATGGTGCATGACTCCAGATTCGCCTTTAGCCCGGCGAAGTACTTCCGGTGGCTCTGGGCCGATTCAGTATCCCATGGGCACACGAACGCACATGAGCGCACGTACAAAGAGCGGTCTTGTGTATCACGTAATCACTTTAAAGGGCCCATCTCATGCAAAATAACTCTTTTCACAGATTGTATCTTCTGCACATAAACAAGCACAATTTGGGTTTTGGAACATCCATTACACAATAGTTATGAAATCTTACTGATTTCTTGGAGACAGTCACAGACCAGGAACTATGAAAGTCCGACTATTGCTCCTCCCCTCGCCCGTCCTGAGAAAGCACAGGCTCCGCCCTCCAAATGTGACATAGTGAGCCGCCCTTCCTCCACCCATCTCAGGGAGGGAGGGGGAGACAGACGTGACCCTGATAGTGGCAGGAATAAACTTTTATTCATCATGGCGATACAGCGTATTCAGCCGCATGTGTTGGACCCGGAATCGGACGAGGACTTTGAGGAGCACGAAGCTCAAGCACCGCGTCCACATCAACTGAACATTACTGATTGGTAAAGTTTTATTAAACTCTAGTAGATAAACTTATTATATCGCGTATACTGCAGTGTAGAACAATGAGCTTATGCTGTCGCTTTTGTTTAGGTGTTCATGTGGGATGCGGGGTGGAGGTGGGTGGAGGCGGTGGAGCGGGGGAGGGGTGGGTGTGAATCACCTTCTGCTACGTCAAACGTGTCATAGGTGTAGCTGTCACGTCATCGTTGTCGCAGCTTTAGTTTGTTGTCACGTGGGAGGGTGGCAGAAATACGGAATCATATCTGATTCTCTTTTGCATTTATGGAGTTCACAAACAAATATCTTGAGCCGTTTTCCGTTGTTAGGACATCCAACAACCACACAATTACAATGTCCAAACCCCATAACTAAAACATGACAATATTAGAACCAGAAGCAAAAGTGATATGGTTCAAAAGACTAGAAAAGATCGACTTTGTCAATAGACGCATCCCACTGGGAAAACAAACATAGTGGTTTGATGCTCACTTTTTTGGAAAATCCTTCCCAGTATGCATTGCGCAATGACCGGAAGTCCAAGATTCTTGATGCGTCTATTACAGCGTTTTTTCTTATGACCTTATTTTCTAATTTCCAACATAAATTACTTAAAGATCCACTATGTAACTTTTTCATTTGTGTTATGTTGTGTATGTTCTTGCTTTGTCCAAAATGCTCCAAAGTATGGCTTTAAACTTACCTATGTGGCATTTATACAATTATAGATGTTCTTATTAAAATTCCAAAACATACATTCTTACTGTGAGTGGGCTTGCCTCGCCACAGATCCGGCCTGTAACTTGGGTTAGTGTTTGCCATTTCTTTGTCTGCATGGAGACTGAGAAGATTAATGCCACACTGTGGAATATTCAAGGCAAAGCAGTGACATCTCCAGGTCTAACAGGTGATGGATCGTCTGCCTAAAAGTTAAATAAAAATGTAATAAATCAATTAAGAAAAGGTATATATTGTAATTTTGATATACCTGTATAGAATTAGAAATGACTGAACTTTGTAAATGTAATGCCTGAAGTTGTAATGACCCTCCCTCTAGCCCCCGGTGACGCTCCCCTGCTCCATTACAATCACCTGAACCACCTCCTGGAGCCCAGCAGGGGGAAGCACATCACCCCCGAGCTGGTCCCCCTGGTGAACAACAGAAAGGGGAGTCTGCTGCCCCCGCCCCGAAAACGCCACATGGGCCAATCAGAGGACGGCAAGAGGCTGCAGAGAGCTCAGAGCCTGCCCGTCAAATACAGATACCACCCCAGTAACGCCACCCAGAGGCAGTGTAAGGGACTGCACACTAACATGGGAATGGCCTTGACTGATTTTTGAGACGATTTTGGAAGATTCCAGAAACTTTGAATAACCTCTAACACTGTTTGACTGATTTCACAAACACTAGTGGTCCTAAACTGCAACCTTGTGGTACCCCCTTTAGATTTCATACTATTATTTTCTCATTAGAAATTAGTTTTAATAAGAATTCTAGTTGTAAAAAACACTAATGGTCCTAAAGTGCAACCTTGTGGTACCCCTTCAAAGTTAACATTATTCTTTTCTTATTATTATTTGACAAACAAAAAAAAAAAAAAAAAAAAACAAAAAAAAAAAAAAACAAACAACCACAGCAAATTGCAAATAAATAAATAAATTAAATAAATAAATAAAAATAATACAATAAAATAAAGAAAAAAATATGTGTGTGTGTGGGGGGGGGTTGCAAAATTATTATTATTGTTGTTGTTATTATTTTTTATGTAGTCATGTTTCATACAACTTAAAATATATTCACATAATTACAAATTACTATATCATATTAATTTTAAATTTACACGTGAAAAGAGAAATCTACTTTAGTTAGGCTATAGTTTTGTTGGATAATGTTAATGTCAGGTTCTCCTTATGGCAAATTTTAGTCATTTCTGGTTTTACTTATAAACAAAGCTTTTTTAATAATTTAAAAAAATGTTATTAAATCTATAATATTCAATAATATTCAAATGCAGTCCTTGTTTCACGTGTCTTAAAGTATGTCTATAACTATGAATATTATAATCTCAGTTTTACATTTACAAGTGAAAATATGGCAAGTTTTTAACAGAAGACAATTATGGTTTCACTTTACGGGCTCACAAAATGTATTTTTTGTGAGCCCATGAAATTTTATGCATTGTTTGTGTATTGTGTATTGCGTAATATAAACTGGTAGAGGATAAACAAAGCATTTCCCCCACTTTATTCAATCAAATATAATACTCAAATACCTAGTCAATGTTTCACACAACTTAAAATATGTCTGTAACTATGAATTACTATATTATGATTTCAATTTTACATTTATAAGTGAAAATATGGCAAATTTTAACATAAGAGAATTACTGTTATAGGCTTACAAAACGTATTTTTTGTGAGCCCATGAAATTTTATGTATTTTTATGTAGATTAATATAAACTGGTAGAGGATAAACAAACCATTTTTCTTTTTTAATCAAATGTTGAATATTCAAATACCTCGTTAATGCTTCACACAACTTATAATATGTCCAAAACTATAAATTACTGTTCAAATTTACAAGTGGAAATAGAAGTCTGCTTTGGTTAGGCTGTAGCTGGCAGGTTATCTCGGGTTGATATAGATTTTTATGCGACTATATGCTTTGCTTTGTGTGGTTTTGTTGGTTATTATGACAGGCCTCCCCCTCTTTTATAATGCAGAGTCCCAAACAGAGCATGTGTTTGTGGTCTGGAGTCTGTCTGCACTGAAGTCTGTGCTGTGTTTGACTAATGACCCTCTGTCAGCTGTGGCCATTAAATATTAACCAGACACAGAGAGATGTGAAGGACCAGAGGCTGCTGCTGCTGCTGCTGCCGCACGTCACCACCGGGGGCGCTCACGTACCGCTTTTAAATGTGATAATGTGCACACGATGTAAACAAACGAGGCAGAAGTGAGAAAAAAATGAACAGTTTGTTAATATAGAGCTGAAAAAGCTGAGGTTTTTTTTTTGTCTGTGTTGGATTAATTAATGACGATAAAGCAAAATGAAAATGTAAACGTATGAAATGTATGTATTTATATATATTTTTAATGTTTTGTTGACATTTTTGATGCTAAACATTCAACTGGGGGGATTTTGGATATTTTTTTGTATTTGAGCTTACTGAAAATTTCTATAAATATACAAATGTCACCAGAATTTTTTGGAGTTAAAATGTTAAGAAATCAGACTCATTGGGTTGACTTTATAAAACAAATTCTTGGTAAAACTGGTAAAATGTAATACTAAAATTGTGTGTGCTTATGTGTGTTGCTCATATGCATTTCTTTTAAACATGCAACAGTTTTTTTTTTTTTTTTTTCTCATTTCATCCTCTTTGCAACTCATAATATGTATCGTATGGTGTGTAAAAACTCACTCACTCACTTCTGCGGTGTTTTCTTTTACTAATTTCACATTTTAAGTTGTGTTGTCTCACTATGATGCTTATATTTTCAGTTGAAGACGACCAACAGTCGGCTCTGTCGCCAAAGAAAAAGCAACGCAACGGAAACATGAGGAACTCCCCGAACTCTTCACCCAAGATCATGAGGTACGTGACGAGAAAATGTCCAGAAATATCTTGACTATTAATATTATTCAGCTTTAACATTGTTGAAATTGAGACTGAGTGGAACAGCTCTGCAAACATATAAAGAAGTAACTGAGTATGGTGCAAATGAACAAATTATACCTGACTTATCCATCGTTTTTTTTGTAATTACTAAGAACTTTTCATACATTTTTTAAATTTTTTGATTTGCGTAGAAAGACAAACAAGTACAATTAAATTTAACTTAATTTGAATGCCAATTTGGGCTGGGTATCATTAAGAAGTTGCCGATACGTTACATACCTCGATACCGTGAGCTTTCAATTCGATACGATTTGATTCGATATATTTCAAATTGATTCAATACGGTTCAATAAAAAATAATGGCTTAAATCATGGCTGTGATATTAAAAGTCTTTGTTTAATCACTTCATGTGCAAAGTTCAAATGAAACACAAACATTTTAATCATTAAAACAGTGAAAATGTCAAATGTGTCGCATAAATGAGTTTCTTTCCTCTGAACAAGCAACAAAACTGTAGCTCTGTAACAAAATTATTTAGTAAAATATACCAAAAAAATACTCTTGGCGATATATCGGTACAGCAGCCCACGATATCGATACTGTATCATCACATTAAATGATAGGATATATAGATATTTAGATATTTTTGCACAGCCCTAGTGTACTTTTGTATTGTATTGTAACTGGGGACAGATTAATTGCTTATATTCATAATATTAACATTGCAAACAATATACAATATGTGGGCCTATATGGTTTTTTTTTTAAAGGAAAGACAAGGAAAAAAATAAAATCACAAATTGTCATATTGTCTAGGCTATTGTTTCCCAAAGAAAGAGTTGTGACCCTCAGGTGGCTTGCAAGAGATTTTTTTTTTGAGGTCGCTTTGACACAATCTGCATGTAGATTAAAATGTTAAGACATGTTTTGTATAATTTCTGATCTTTTTGCAATTATTTTATTGACTATTTTGTTCCAATATTGCTGGTTCAATTGAATGTTGAACAAGAAAAAGAAATGGGCTACATTTAATGTCCAAATTGATGACTTATGGATCCTTTTATTAGCCTAATTCATCAGACGGCTTAACTTCATAGAAACCGTCTGACCCCACAGCGTTAGAATTCATTTGCTCCACAGTAGGCGGGTACTTTTTTTATTTAACCAATCGGTGCTATTTGGTCATGACGTATGTAATGCGCCGCTAATGGAGCTAACTCGTAAATTAAGCTTTTCCCAAATCCCGTAGGAAGAAGGACAATAACGTCTTTCCCTTTGATAAAATTCACCAAACATTCTCTTTGTTCTCAGGAATCGTTACCAACACAGAATATATGACTCTTCGCTGTTTGACTGGTGCCCGAACTCGCACTTCCGAACACGCACTGTCCTTGTAAACCATTTAGTGTATTCTGATTCCTGACCTAGTCGCTGGAGAGAAATGAAATTGAGCGGAGGCACTAGGAGACTTTTTTGCTTGTTTAAAACTTGAGTAATACTAAATGTTCCGAGAGACACGATCACTCAGTCAAGAATAAAATAATCCTCATTAATGTTCAGTAATGGTCAAATCCAACTTTATTTTGTGATTTACGGGTCGTGAAGGTTTGTGGGTCCCCAGAAAAAAAAAAAAACTAGTTTGCGAAACACTGGTCTAGGCCGACAGTTCAACATATCTTCACTGTCACCGAATCCATACAAAACTCTGTAATGTCTCGTGTGTATTTGCATTCGGAGTCAATCTTATTATTCAAAAGCTGGATAACATATGCCCGAAATCCACTCCCTAACTGACCTAAAACCAGGAAGCGCTCGACAGGCCGCTAAAACCCCCGTCGCATGATATCTCCCGTGATGCGTGCTCGCCGTGGAACGTGTCGAGGGCCGGATCCCCGTAGTCTGGCGGTGACAGCGGCGGAGTGGCTCTTAAACAGGACTGGCAGTAATGACAGCGCGTGGATGGATCGCCCCGGGCTATGTTCTAGCTCGCGCTCTCTCGCCGCCAACATCCGCGCGTTATACATATCTACACTACAAAGGCATTTTAAACAGTACCTGGCTTTTATCTTGTCGCGGGGCATTAGCTTGGCGCGTATTGAGTTTGACTGCGGATAACGACGCGAGGTTATTACAGAGGAGAGGACGCTGATGGCCATTAAGTGCTACGCAAACATGAGTGCGTTTCGGCGGGGTTGAGTCGATGCTGGCTGACAGCTGTCTCGAAGCTTCGGACGCTATTTATTTAATATGACAACGCGGGCTCATGTTGACAAGATAAAAGAGGTTAATTCCCTAAATGGTCGTGTATTCGAGGAGAGAGAACGGCGAGTGTCCAGCGTTGAAGGCGACGGCTGATCTGGTTTGGCGTGACCGTGAATGATTGATAGGTGGAATTCTCTGCGTTGTAAGTGGTAGATGTTGGTTTTACTCTGATTAAAGATAAAAAAATAAATAAATTGTTATGTTAAAGGGTCCATATTTTGTTAATTTCTGATCTACTTTATGTTATAATGTTGTTTCTGTTCACAAACAGACCTGGAGTTGTGTTTTGTCCCATTCGCATTCATGTTTAACGCACAAATCCTGCATATTTATGATGACGGTCTGAACAGAAGACGCAAAAGTGGCGTTGCGTCTTTGCTTTTTATTCCACATTTAGACGAGCGTTTACGGGAGGAAATTTGCGTGCATAAGGTGACGCAAAAGTGTGTGGAATTAGATTGGGTATGCATGCCAGGCGACTCGGTGGTGATGTTTGTGACGTAAATGCAGACGTGATGTGAGCAGATCTGACCAGAGTTTTGCGTCTTGGGCAGTGTAGACGGTTCAACTTTTCCACTCTGGAAGGTGGTTTCAGATTTTTGCGTTTTTAAGCCCCAAAAACGCCGTCACTGTCTAAACCACAGGTGTCAAACATATGGCCCGGGGGCCAGATCCAGCCCTCCAAGACCTTTAATCTGGCCCTCGGCTGATTTTCTACTAAAATATTTTAATTATATTTTCTATTAAAATATTGGTAATTTTCTGTGGTGTTTATCACAGCAGCGTCTCCAGCGTCTCTGTACGTGGCCCCTCCCACCAGAGCAGCACAAATGAAGACTTGTTTAGTTTAGTTTATTAAGATCCCCATTAGCTGCTGAACATCAGTAGCTATTCTTCCTGGGGTCTCCAACTTGTCTCTTTCCAAACGCTCTTAAAGGACGATCGTTTTGACTGTTGACCGTGACACCCTCATCAGAAAAATGTCCAAAATGAGAAAAGTGGAGCCGAGTGCAGGATTTTCCAAGAAAAATTGACTTATTCCTATTTGCATACAAGTTAATGTTAAAACATTGTGTTGAAATTGCTTCTTTTTTTTTTAAGTTTCAGTTTGTTCATAATATTATCATATTTTGTAAAAGAAAGAGTTCATCAATTAAAAAAGATTTCTGTAATAGATTTGTGTTTCTCTGCACAAATATTTGAACTTATTGTTATTTTTGGGGTTTATATGACATGAGTTTTCTGATCCGGCCCCTTTGGGATCAAAGTCGGTTGGATACGGCCCCCGGACCAAAATGAGTTTGACACCCCTGGTCTAAATGAAAGACACTTCCGATAAAATATTTTGTTGTTTTTACCCCCAGGTGTTCTCATGTAAAAAGGCCCTTACTCTGAGTTCTTCTCTCAAACAGATTAACACTCATGCCATTTGGTGATACAGGAAGTGCTCCACTGTGTTTTTAAACTTCAGTAGAATCATATGGATAATTTCAGCCCTGGAATATCCAATCTCTACTGAAATAATTTTGCGTTCGATTATCCATCCGTCTCCCACTCGGATCGTGGATATAATTTGATGTCACGCTCCCACACTTAAAGAGTTTTATTATGTTCCGTGCATAGATCGTATAAATTAATAGACAGAGCTAATGCAGTAGTCGTCCTGTTCCGATTTTGCGTGTTCGACTTGAAGTAAAATGTGGACGCCAACTGGAATGCTGTTATTGTTGTTGTTGTTTATATTCTGTTAGCGACCACAGGGACGTTTAACAACACCCGTTTAAAACACGTCTTTGTTCAATACTGGCCTCACCACAACAAAGACCAAACCCAGAGGCAGTGATACAGACACAGTGAAGTATTGCAGTGATATAAGTGACTGAAATTGTCATTTAAACCACCAAAATGTCCAAACACAATGAAAACACTTCATACTTAAAAGTGACCCTGGGCACACCCCCCTTGAATTCTATCTTGGAATCCTTGCTCTTGGTCTCCTCCAAGTTCTCTCGAGGTCCGAATTGTGCCGTCCGAGGAAAAGGGACGTGTTAGTGCGTATCGCTAAGGAACGTCCGTGGACCTCCGAGTTGAATGGATAAACAACGCACCATAAATGTAAAAGACAGGTATTAACTTGAAAACTACCACTATATGACATCACAAGGTGGAACAGAGCATTTAAGCTTTGGAGATATAGACAGACTAACAAAGGATTACTCAAACATGTATAAATAAAACAAAACACAACTCCAGGTATTTTTTGAGGAGGTAACAACAGTATAACATGGTTTAAAGCTCAACTTTAAAGATAACATGAAGAGCCAATGACTTGAACCAATAATTTTCTCTTTCTATTCATTTAACAAATGCTTCATACATTAATTTAATTAAGTGTTTAATTGTATGTCTCTTTAGTGACCCCTTGTGGTTAATGTTGTTTGAGCCTATCTTATAATGATTACAATTACAATGAAGTCTTAGTAAAAGGATGAATACAGGTTTTGTTTCAAGTCCATACCAAAAACAAATCACAATACACTCACCAATGAAAAGACTGCACATTACATCAGGTTCGTGAAGTTGTTGTGTACAGTTCTGTATCCTGTATTTGTATATTTATCAGAGGGGAACACTCAGAAAAAAAGAAAAAATACTGAAAGAATTTTTGCAATACTAATATATTTTTTCTATATTTTTTATTCAGTGAGTAATA